TGTTTAATGTCTACACTTTCAGTGGTAGCATAGTGAAGTGTCAACAGTTTCAGTCACGACTTCGCGTCATACACTTTTACAGGCAGCTGTACGGTTGAACAATGACAAACAGACAGTGCTGAGTCAAAGGGTACTGGGCTTCCCTTCGAAGAGGTTCTGAGAATGCAATTTTTACGATGAAAGAACCAAGAAACTAGTTTCGGAATTCAAGAGGTTTCGGTTCATGTACTTCGTATGGGCATTCCTGCTAATCTTTTTTGGGCATATTCTTGAATAGGGATGTGTTTTAGTCTCTGGGTCCGCTTGGGACTTCCGTAGTTCCGGGGCGATATCGATTGTGAGGTGCATGAAGGGTTTGCACAGGGTTCGCCTGCTTCGTAGTTTGTGAGACATTCGGAGCATGGGTCGGATTCATGCAGCACCTCGGGAACAACCCGAATACCCTGACGCATGGCAAAACCCCTGTTCTTGACTGGCCTTACACTTCTGGCGGCAGGATGCTGTTGTTGCGTTTGTCGGTTCTTCGCCGCAGCATGAGTGGTTCACTTCAATTCTCCCTGCCTTGGCTTCTCTGAGCTCCGAGCTCAGAAGTCTTCGGCTGGGCTTCAAAATGCCTCAACGCAAGTAAGCTGTGATCGGAGAACAAGCCAGAGAAGACACCCTGTAACCCTGCAGAGCCTGCAGAGGACACACCGAAACTTTGGCAGAGGGTGCATGTTGGCGTTGCGGGTCGTTGTTGCGTCGTTGCTGTGCACGGAAGTTAGGATGATGTGTTTTGGGGGCATCAGGATGCTTCGGGAGGTGTTTCAGAGTCCAGGACTTTCATGTGATGGTCTCCACAAACCTCCGATGGCACACCGAGGTGTGGCTGTGATGTGGCAGACCGTGGCCGTGGTGCTCAGCTTGTCAATTGGCCTTTCTTCAGGCTGGGACCTGGGAATCAGAGTTGGGGCCGCTGCCCGCTGGGACCCAGCTAGAAAGGGACAAAGTGTCGGCATCGGGGCGCGGCCTCGTCTGAGCTCGATGTCTGAAATCCCGGAACCAGAGGTTTGATTAATTGGTTTTGATGTCCCAATTACAGCCTTCTTTGCAGGTTGGAGGCGAGTGACTGCAGGCTTGACGCTTTGAGGGCTTCAGGCTGTTTTGGTTTTCCCAGATGCAAGAAGGCTCTCCTGCAAGGGGTCTGCCCGTACCCCCTGAAATCCTGATAAGACCAAACTGTTGCGTTCCATGCTCGTTGTGGTTTCTCGGGAGCTGGGCTGCATTGGGACTTGGGACCTAGCGATTGGGATTTGTCGGTTTGCATCTTTTGGAGAAGCCTCGTAGCCTGTGCGTGAACTCGTGAACTTGCAGGCAAAAGCCCAATCACAAGACCCAAGCGCAGAGCGCACAACCTGTTGAAATCGCGATTGAAGAGTTAGAAATCCGTTCATGCATAATTTTCGCAAAATACACTCCCACGCCATACTCTAAAATCAAGGCCCGTAGATTACGCTCTCCGACGGTAGACCGGAGTTGCCATGTGCAGGTTTTCCAAGTTTGCCAGCTTGGCAAGTCACCAACGGGTTCGCGGCCGAGAGGTTTCCAATATAGAAGTCTGAGTCGTTGGTATCATGGTCCGAAGGCGTCTTTGTCAAATTTAAAGTATCATATCTCCTAAATCCTCTTCTGATGAATGAGACCCCTACGCTAGGGTCCGTGTCAGGTTTCGGAAACAGGAGCGCAGCTTCTCCCTGTCGCACCACGTAGAGCAAGTGAGCAACCGCCCTCAATGACTCAGGCTCAGATGGGGCTTCGGATCAGGCTTGGGTTTCATCCTCAACCCTGAACCCTAGTAGCAGAGTGGGTAACCTCTAGCCTCTTTTGGGTAGTATAGTCCCCTATATATTCCCTATATAACCAAAAAGGTTAACCTTTAGTTCCCCATGATACCCGACAAGTAGGGAACGGAAAACTGTGGGCGATAAGCGCATCCATCCCCCCACCTTCAGCTTCCCAATCTTCAGGTCCTGTGCTGTGGAGGCCGGCTGCATCGTCAGCACGAACTTCCCAGCTGAATACCCGAACAGCGACTCAGCTGTCCCTACCCTCCCTCGAAAGGGGTTTTCAGAGAAATACAGAGTACGTTTTTCAGAGACCACCGCAGACGAGCTGAGGTGACAGCTGCGTTATCGAAGTCGCAGCTGGGAACAGGTGTGCTCGGTGATTTCTGCTAGTTTGGCCCCAGTCCCCAAAACGCTCCTCAACCATTCCTCCAAACCCAAACGTCTATGCAGCGGGATTGCAGGCAGCCCATAAATGTGGAATTCTTCTCGACCGAAGTGGCCCACGACAAGCTGAGCGTGAACGGCATGGCCTACTCCGGAACTGAAGGGCCACAGGGCGTGGTTCCTCAGGGCTCCGTCCTGTGGATTTCGGACTCCTGGTGGCTACAGCGTAAGCTTGTTCACGTCTTGAAATGTGGCTGCGGTGTCCGGGATGAGATTTGTAGCGGCCAGGCATTGGGAGACGGCAGAGAACCTCCTAGGTCCTAGGTCAGGACAACTCAGAGAATAGCACTCCGAAAGCCGGGTCCTTTTCACAAACCCATAAACCGTCCGTAGATCCTGCCCAAACCCCGTTTTATCGAGAGGATGGACGGACGATCACCATGGTCACGTCCTGGTCTATGTCAATGTATTTCTTGTGCTATCCATGTTGTTTGAGATTTTGTCGATGCACGCGTGCACGTCCTGCAAGAAGTGTGATCTCTCTAGAGGGTGGGCACGTCAGGAGACAAGATCATGCTTGCTCTCTTCTTCCGGAGTGCTGTAACGCAAATTCTAGTTCTTGCATGTGCAGAGGGACAGAGCTTTGCTCGCGAAGGCCTCGCAGACACACAGGCTAGACACCGCAGGGTCGCCAAGTGCGCTTTGATGTCACCAAGTGTCTTCATCCGTTGTCCACAGGCTGTGGTAGCAGAAATGCTTCGCCATGAGTGGTGTTTACTTTCCCTCGACGTGCGCCAGCTACAGTGCCTGTTGATTTCCTTTCAAGATTAACGTGGTGATTGTGATCTTCGAGTGGTCTGACGAGCATTCTGCGAAGTCCCCTCTCTTAGGTTCTGCGTCTACGGCCCGGCTCCAGGGTCTTAGGCTTGAGAGTCCGAGAGGTTTAGTGAGATCTTCAAAGCAAACCAAAGCCCCAGAGCCGCCCAAGCCGAGGATACCATGCAGGCAGGCGCGGGCTGGAAAATTTGCCTCCAAGAGGCCGAAGCGGGGGAGGGCGCGCGAAGGGCGCGGGGAGGGAGCGTCGGCTCTTGCGGGATCTCCGACGTTCGGATGGCTGTTTCGGGGTTTCGCTGTGAAACACGTCTGCTGCAGAGGAATCCATTGTGTGCTAAACCGACAGGAGACAGGGTTTGTATTGGGGAGATTGGTGAGTGTATAGATGCGTGCTGGTGAGTTATGGTGCTGTCGATGCACTGCTCCAGGATTCTGTCGTAGTCAACCCTGGAGCACCAAGAATCGGGGCAACGTGCCCGTCAGTTCTGGCAGCCCAGCAACAAAAACTGCTGATTGCTCCTTGACCACCATCTTTATATGTGCCTGGACTTGGAGGCAGTGGCAGCGCCGGCGGCAAAGCGGTCTCTGCAGGCGCGCTTTCCACCAGGTTTCGGGCTTGTGCATTCGTGCTTCAGAGTTTTGGCGTCTGGTACACACAAAGAATTGTTCTGACTGTTGGTTTAATTTTGGAAGTATATATATAGCCTCGGTCGTATCAGGGTGCATGGGTGGAACGTCTAGGTCCGGGCCTCCAAGATGTAATGTTCCGGATGGCGAGCACTTGTCACCATATATCGGAAACCCGCAGCTTTCAGCAGCACCGCGGCGACGAGATGGTCCACAATCTTGAATCCGGGCTGTAGATCTAAAGACTGAGAGCGTATCAACAAATAGACTTCAAAGCAAGCATGTCTAGGTGTTGAACACATGATGGCAGAAAGCAGGCGAGTCCTGAGCAAGAAAACTGGGGGTCTATTAGGCTGTCAGCTAACATGGAGCCATAGTTTGAGAAGCTCGTCCATCCAACATTCAAGCTTCAAAACCCAAAGCCCCGACACAAGCCTAGCCGTCACAACGGCAGGCAACATTCCCCTGGAGCGTTGCGTCGGGGCCCGGGCCTCAACAGGTTTAGCGCTTGCAATCGGATGGCGAGCTGTGCGATTCGCGTCTGCAGTAGTAGGGCAAGAAGCGCACTTGGGCTTACCCCCACTGCTTTATTGCCGAGGACCTGCAGCATGGATAGCCAAGGCTGCATTAGCAGCACGGGGTATGAGGATGGAAGTAATTACCCCAGCAATGATGCATGCACTATCACAGTGCCCGCCGACAACACGATCGCCATCGACGTAATCGCATTCAACACAGAAGGGTACTATGACTATCTCTTCGTGAACGATGCGTACTACGATGGTAGCACAGCGCCGGATGGAGTCGTGCCAATGGGGAACATCACGTGGTCGGCCGATGCTCGGATGCATGTAGCGGCACGCTTGGTTGCAAAGATGAGTTGGGTACCGCAGCGGCCCTTATACACGCCTTTGGTTTGCATTCTCGTTCATGTTCGGCTGCGTTCGCACTCGCGTGCGGGAACACGCCGGCAATCTCCGAAAAAGACCCTTGCTGCAAGAGTTCGTAGACCATCAAAGCTTGTCCAGGGTTCGTTCCTGGTGTATTGGCGAGCTGCGCAGCGTTGGCGTTCGTTCGAGCAGCGCCCGCGCGCGTACGACATTCAAGGTCAGATCACGGTACAAGTATGTGTTGCAAGGACTCGTCCGCAGAGGATGCCGGCTGGAAGATTTGTCCAGCCCTGCCATGGAGCATTGCATCGGGGTCTGGGCCTTGAAAGGTTTGGGTGGATCAGCAAGCGATTAGCTGTGCGATTCTTCTTGGCGCAGAGGTAGTTGAGGCATAGCACTTGGGCTGACCCCCAATGCTTGATTGCCGAGGACCTGCAGCATGGATGGCCAAGGCTGCATTAGCAGTACAGGGTATGAGGATGGAAGCGATTACCCGAGCAATGATGCGTGCACTATCACGGTGCCTGCCGACAACACGCTCGCCATCGACGTAATCGCATTCAACACAGAAGGGTACTATGACTATCTCTTCGTGAACGATGCGTACTACGATGGCACCACAGCGCCGGATGGCGTCGTGCCAGTGGGGAACATCACGTGGTCGGCCGATGCCCGGATGCATCGAATCTACCAGTTTCGGTTGCCAAGATGAGTTCGGACCGTAGCGGCGTAGCGTTCGGCTCGGCACGGCACGTGCCTCAGTTCCGAGGACTCGTCCGCAGAGGATGCCGGCTGGAAGATGTGTCTCCTGGCCGCGCGCCTTGAGGCCGAGATCGCGATTTTGGGGTCTAGGTTGAGGATTTCATGGCATGGAAAGTGTCAAGAACTTCGTGACAAGCCGCGGGGGGGTGGGGTTCAGGGAGACGGCGAAGGAATCTCAGCTTTGAGAGTGATCTGAATCCTGAGTTCTTGTGACATCAAATGAAGCTGTGTGAAAGCAGGCTTCTCTCTCAGATATTGGCGGCTTGGCGAGAAAAGGGTTTCGGCCTCTGTGAGCGCAGGAGCAGCTGCCTTGGAGCAACGTATCCGGGTCGGGGCCCTGGCCATAGCCACAGTGAGTTGCAACTCTCCGAATCAACTTTGAAGCACGGGCTAGATGCGGCTGAGAGACGTGCGCCGAGGAGCTGTAGAATGGACAGTGAGGGCTGCATCAGCAGCACCGGGTTTGAGGATGGACTTTTCTACCCGTATAACGATGCTTGCCTGATCGCGGTTGCCTCGGACAACACGCTGCCCATCAACGTGATCGCCTGGGCCACGGAATCCAGAGACAATCTGTGGGTGAACGGTGTGGCCTACAGTAGATTCAGCAGTCCCCTGGGCATTGTGCCGACGCAGAATATCTCTTGGGCTGCCGACGCTTGGCAGCCTTGGGTGCCGAAGAGTTGCCAGTCGCTTCCCCAGCAGGGTGGTCCTTCGATACATGTCATGGCATAGCGGCATAGCAGGCTACTTCGGTCGAGAGCTTGGGTGTGGCTGCCGGATGGAAGATTTGTTTGGGGCTTGATGCTCTTCGTCTGCAAGCAGTGTGTCATGCACCCAAGTGGAAACCCTTAACCGCACCCTCCAAAGCCAACAAAACCGGGAACACCACCGGGAACACCAGACCCCCGAACCGCTCTCCTTTTCTTTCAGAAGACAGGCGCCCTTGCCATGGAGCGTTGCATCGGGGCCCGGGCCTTGGAGAGCGGAGAGTAGCCGAGCAGAGCAGTGTCGGTCCTCGGTCCGCCGCATTGGGTTGTTTTCGGTGACACTCGGCCGCTTTAGGGGCCTTGCTCAGGAGCTGTGGCATAGACGCGGAGCGCTGCATCAGCAGCACAGGGTATGGCGCACCTGGATACCCCAACGATGATGCCTGTACCATCCAAGTGCCCTCGAACAACTCGCTCCGAATCGCGGCCGGAGAGTTCAGCACAGAAGCGAACTATGATCTTCTCATCGTAAACGGGGTGGCCTATAGTGGTTCCGATGGGCCGAGCGGCATTGTGCCAACCGGGCCGATCACGTGGTCTGCCGAGTCTCGGCTGAAGGGTGGCCAAATTGCTACAGTTCTGCTGAATTTATGCTCGTGCAAGGACGACACTGGCGCAGATTCCGGCTGGAGGATCTGTTTGGAAGTAGTCGGTCTGCACCCCAAGCCATGCCCTGTAAAGAGGTCTCAGCGTAGCCACCGAGCGATGGCCCCGACCCAGCGCCCTACATCTCCCATTCCAAGCCCCGGATTGCGAGACACGACCACCGGCTTCGCGAATGTTCCACCCAACTGGCAATTGAGGGGATTACGGCTTTCAGCGCAGCGGGCAGCGCTTAAGACCCATCTGGCTAAAGCTTGGAAACATGGATACTAAAACAAAATCTCTCCTCGTCTGGTCGCTGACCAGCCCCTCCACGTGCCGCTTGAAGGCAGCCTTTGCATGGAGCGTGGCCTCTGGGCACGGGCCATAGCGAGCCGGCAGAAGCTTGCAAGAGGCTCGGCGAGTTTGCAGCCGCGCCGCTCAGGACTTGCCTCATAGACAGAGATGGCTGCATCAGCAGCCCGGGAATCGAGGATGGAAGCGACTACCCGAATGACGATTCTTGTCAGATCGCGGTGGCCTCGAACAACACGCTCCCCATCAACGTGATCGCCTTCAACACGGAAACTGGCTATGATTCTCTCATCGTGAACGGTGTCTCTTACAGTGGTTCCGAGGGGCCGGTGAACATTGTGCCGACGAAGGACATCTCTTGGACATCTGAAACTTGGCTACAACAGGAAGGGTGCCCAAGTTGTGTGTGGATCAGCCGCCATGATTCTGCATGTCTCAAGAATTCTGCATCCCGAAGCGGTCATAGCCAAAGGACGGAAGCGTCGCGGATGCCGGCTGGAAGCTCTGTCTTGGATCTGATGCTTCCTGCCCGCACCCAGCCCTAAACCCGGAATTCTTACGCATTGAGACGAGGGTCCGAGTTGCGAGAGCGCAGACCCCGGAACTCCGACACCGAAGGATCGAAGGCCATTAAATCCAACTGTTCGTGAGAAACTAAAGATACTTAAGTTTAAATCCAACATTTTAATGGGCCCGAGCGGGAGGCAAAAGACCATGAGCCAAACACGTTCAACCCCCAAACTCCCAAACACCGGGATTGGCTCAGGTGGGCTTCCCATGGAAGGTTGCATCCGGGCCCGGGTCTCGGAACGTTGATCTCCTGCCAGCACCCTTTAATGGGGTGCAGGGTGGCCAAAGCTTCCTGAGGAGTGGACAGATTTTTCGAGTTTGGCTTAAGAATGCCTAGATAATACCCTCTAGAACAGTACATCACGCGTTGAGGGCGTTTGCCGTGGTAGGGTTTGCGTCGTGAGATTCGGGCCTAGAGTCTAAGAGTCTGGAGTACTGCAGTGGAGCACTTTTTACCCCTCCCGCAGAAAGGCCTAAACGAAAAACCCATATGGATAGACGGAAAGATAATAAGATAGATGATAGATAGAGATACAGATAGAGAGATCATGAAACAATATTTCTGTCAAGTTCTGTCGCAGGGAACGACTGAAGCCGCCGAAAGCCGTCTCAGGACTTGCAACATCGACTCCAATGGCTGCATCAGCAGCACCCTCTTTGGCCTCGACGAATATCCGAGGACGCGAGCCGTGTAGGGTTTTGGAGTTCGGTTTCTGATTTAGAGTAGGGTTTAAAATGATTGCCGTAACGGGAACCTATAACAGGAACGAGGGACCACTCCGTAACAGAAACCCCTGGTTCCCGTAACAACCACTGGGAACGGCCTCGTAATTGGAACCAGGGGACAGGCACCGGGACTTGCTTTCACGTCTCGCATACCGTTCTCTCGTCCAAACTCAGGGCCCGTTTTCCGGTCCCCACTTACAGGGCATCAGACTTACGATTCCAGCATGCCTTTCAGACATTCTTCAGTTCCTGCCAGCATGGATTTCACGATGAGAGCTGCTTTGGACGTATCACTTGAGCTTCTAGAGATAAATTTCGCCAAGGGCCAATGAGTCTGCATCAGGGGTTGTGATGCGCCCATGACTGTTTGCGGTTTGGGAGCCATGCTTATCACTGGCTGACTACACTCCGTCAAATCCTCATTGGGGACTCTAGAGTGCAGGGGCCATATCAATCCTGGTTGACGGTGCGTGTGTCGGAATTGCGCAAGGGCACATTTTTCTGGTATTTTGCTTACGACAACGACTCATGACGACCACGATGCGGCGGCGAATACTACTAGGACTTTTTGTGACTATTTAATTTGTATTGTACGACAACAACTCCAACACATTGCCCGCATTACCGAATTTCCGTTTTGCGGTTGGTTTTCCGGATCCAGACACACTAACTGCATTGCCCGCTGTCAGACAGACCAAGTTTTCTAATGGACGAGAATACAACTGCGAGCACGGCAAGCATGCTCTCTCAACTCAAGTCGGGGTTCTAGGATTCAAACCCGAACAGCTTGTACGGCACAGTCCTCAACCGCAGTCCCAAATGACCAATGCCTCCGCCAACAGAGCCAAAGCATGGCAAACATATTGAGGCCCCAACTCCTTACAATGGAAGTTGAAACCTAAACCCTTTCCGTTGCTTGAGTCAGAAAGCCACAGTCCAGAGTGCGCAAAGCCGCCAACAGAGCCAAAGCATGTTAGTCTGTTAGTCTTGCTTTCTCCTCAAACGGATCCAAACTCCAGCTTCACAGCACATCCCATGATCAGGCAAGGCTGGCAGGGAAATCGTACTCCCGAACAGTAAAGCAAGGGGTTTGAACTTTTTCAAGGCATCAGCGCTGCGGCTGTACCTACTGATTGCTGCTGCTGCTAGTGTTTTTGCTACTTCTGCTGCTACTGCTACAGATTCTGCTACTGCTTCTGCCACAACCACCACAACAGCAACAAAAGCCTTCTGTATTGCAATTTCCATGCTCCCAAACCGTGCATGTTACTCAACCCTAAAGTCCAGATGCCGTGAATTACAAACGTGTGAGCGTGAGGCTCCGATGGCTGTAAAGTAGGGGACCGAAAATTGGTCCCCCACACCGTAGTTTCTGTTACGCTCGGGTGGCGGTTCCTGATTCGACCCGCGACTGTTTCCGTTACTGTCTCCGGAACTGGTTTTCGTTACTCCCCAAACTGGTTCCTGTTACTCCCCGCAGGAAGGAAGGTTGCTTGTAACTTTGTTTCTTACTTGTAGCTTTTTGTTTGTTCCTACAAAACTTCTTAGTTGTATTTTTCCTCTTAAAAAGCAACGAATCTCTGCAGAGGGTCGCAAAACAGGCTTCGCAGTTGTGATTGTTTTGACCTCTATTTAGGGTTTATATAGGGTTTGCTTGTAGGGTTTAAGGCAGGCTTTAGAGTTTGCTTTAAGGGTTTAGGGCATTTAGGGTTTAGGGTTTGCTTTTCGGGGTGGCTGGGTGGGGCAGTTGTTGGCTAAAAGACACTATTGGCTTGGAGGGAGGGCCCTCACAAAAGGAAAAAGTTACAACTAACCCTGCTACGCTCCCCAGAGCTGAAAACGGAGCATGCAGTTAAGCAGTTAGAATCCCGTTCAGTTATGCTTAGTCCTTCAACTTAGAGTTTTGAAAGTGTCTGGGAGAAGTTACATGGAGTTTCCTTTGCTTCTTTCTTGAGGCACAGCAGTCACAAGCGATCTGAGCTTTCGGGTTCACGGTTCGTGGAGTTGTACCTGCTGGCGTTTGGGTTCGGATCTTGGCTTCAGGGTTTCAGGGTGTTCATCCAGAGGAATGATGAGTGCACTATCACCATGCCGTCCGAGAACAAAAGAGCCATCGCTGTGATGGCCTTTTCCACTGAAGCTAGGCTCATATGTGGCAACATGCAGCAATGCAACCCCTTCGGTACTTAAAGAGCGCCCCCCGGCACCACCAAGTTTGGGGGTGATGCCTTGGTCGTCAACGGCGTTGCGTACTCGGGCTTCGATTGGCACCCCTGGGAGCCAGAGTATGGGCCCGTGGGCATTGTGCCGACGGGGGATATTACGTGGTGGACCGATGCCAGGCTGCAAGGAAGTTTAAATCTCGTTAACTCGTCGATTCCAGCCTAGTGCCCCCCGGCACTGCTGAACTTCTCGCACGCTTAGACCCAGACGCCCTGTTGCAACGAAAAGGATGACGAACTTTCTCACGATGGCTGGAAGATCTGCTTCACCGAGGCCACGGGCACGGGAGAGTTGACACATGGCGAGGGCTTCGGGAAAGTAAGACCCAACCTGTCCGCGGCTCATGGCATGCTGACAGGCTTGGGTATTGATGGTCACATGTTGGTGGTTCTGTTAGAGGAGACCCGATAATAGGTTCAGCAAAATAACCACTGTGCTGAATCCGGCAGCTTGTGTGCCCACGTCCGCCAATCAGTGTGTGATGTGCTCAGCATTTGGCCACCTTCCCCTTGCAGACAGAAGGGTGCTGAAAGCCATCCAATAGACTTCACAAGTGTTGGCCGAGCCACAAGAAGACACAGCGCTTTGGTTTACACGAGAAGCGCATGCCGAACTTTCATGGGTGTTCAATTGAACCCCAATGCAGAGGCGCGACTGTCACGGTCACCGGGTTGTGGCTGGCTCGAGGCAACGCCCGAACGAGCGAGCACATTCAAATCAAGGTTGTTCTCCAGAATCTCTAGGAACAAGAACCACTCAGGCAGGCTACGAAGCCAAACAAGATCCGACAAGCAAGTGGGCGCAATAGTTACAAACCAGGAATGGCATCCGAAACTGCAGGAGCTGCGAGAGCGTAATACCCATGGCTTGGTTTTGAGCAAACCCTGCCTGTCCTCTCAAGAATGGCACCACCACCCTGTCTCGCTTCTTGTGTGTGAAGGGCCTCAAAATTTGCTGCCCAGATGGTGCAGGCGTTGCTCTGTTGTGCTACCATCCAGTGCTGTTTTGACCTGATCCCTGCAGGCACAACAACTGAGCACTCTAAGCCTCACTGTCAGACCTGAAGCTTCGCCGCAGGATCCCGGCGACAAGCTGCCCTTGTGGACGGTGCAGTCGGGGCGAGGCTCTCAGCGAGGGGACACTGTTGAGCGACTTGGGGCCCTCACCCCATGCGGCCAGCCCGTTAGATGTTCCGAGGTTCCGTTGCGCAGTCTCTAGAGTGTCTAGTCATAGTTCTGATTGCGGTAATGCCTTCGTGGCAACCGTTCAAGGTTGATGTAAAGGTATACGACAAGTACAACTACACAATCCAAAGACTACGACAGGAATGTTTAGGTGGGGTTCTCTACGTTAGGGTTTTTGCTCGAAGAGTGAACTGGAGCCCTACATGTCGAGTTCGGAGGAATTTCACCCTCAGCAGTTCGAGACCGTGGCTTTGCACTCCCTTGCAGTAGAAAGTCTTACTAAGGGCTGAAGGCATCGCTCAGGACATGCTTCGTCTATGGAGAATGCATCACCAGCGGCAACTACCCTGGGCGCTACCTTCCGGAGGCAAGCTGCATATTCTCGACGGCGACGTTCGATCCGCGAAATCCTTTGCACATCGATGCCTGTCTTCAACAGCACACATAGGTGCATAGGTCATGTTGCAATGGCCGCCAGATGCCTTGGGCCGGTACAAACCGAAGAAGTTCTTGCCACGCATCTGAAACTCTGACCGACAAGCCCGGAGAATGATAAATTGAACTCCTTAGAAGTCTTCAACTGTCAAGGATGTTGTGGACTTCTCCACCGAGTTGGGATGGGATGAGATGGTCGTGAATGACATCCACTACTCCGGCACCAGGGGGCCTGCTGGAATCGTGCCGCGAGGGAACATCACTTGGACTCCGGAGACCCGGCTTAAATGCTCAGCACTGTCTGCACTCCCAGCTAGTAGATCTCTAGATCTCTGGGCTGGCATCGTTCACACGTCTTTCAAGCAGCCATCGTGTGTGTTTTGCCCGAGCTAGACGGTAAGCGAATCAACACAGCACACTACAAAACCAAAGAGTGTTAAGCCTCCAGCTGTGCAAGAAAACTGTTTGAGGACTCTAAAACAGCGGATCGGGGCTGGACGCTCTGCCTTCGACCTGGCCAGGTGCAAATGAAGGGGCTCCTGCTCAAGGGGTTTCTTCCCAGTCAGTTTCTCGAAAAGCTAGGAGCGCTAACAGTTGTGATCTTTGATCTTCCGTGGGGTCGCGAAATAACATGCACTTCGGCAAGTGCTCACTTGCAGTTGCAGGTCGCTTTTGAGACTGTCAGCTGCGGCTTTGAGTCGGATGCGTGCGTCTGGTTCAACACGGGCAACTTCACTTGGGAGCGTGTTGCCGGCCAGGCCCATGAGGGAGGCTGGTGGCTGGAGGCCACAGGAAATCCGTCGAATACGACAAACAAATTCATCATTGAGGCGCCGCACTTCAATGCCGCCAAGAAAAGGGCCTTGCTCTTTGCCTACAAGCTGTCTGGCTACAGTGCGGTGGCTCTGGAGGTGGAGCACAAGACGGCAGAGACTAACTGGTCGAGCCTCTTCGTGAAGACAGGCGACACAGGATCGTCGTGGCAGTTCGCTTCCATCAAGGTCCCGAGTGGCACCGTCGCCATGCGTGTGCTGGCAAGCCTTTCTACCACGGAGGATTCAGTGAAGCTCGATTCGATCCTGGCAGTGAATGTAGTGCCCGGTCTGGAGAACGTCGCTTGCGACTTTGAGTCTAGCTTCTGCGGCTGGTCGGTCGGAACGGTGCATCGCTGGAAGCGCACATATGGCGAAACCCCATCACTGCATACCGGACCACAGGAGGCCTATGATGGTTGGTCGTACATATACACAGAGGCCGATGCTGGCAACGAGGCAAGCCGTTGTGCGTGTGCGCATGTATGAAGGTGTCCTGTGTGGGCATGTGCGTCCCCTCTGTGTGTCTGTGTGTGTGTGTGTGTCTATCTTTTTATTTGTTTCGGTTTCTCTCTGGCGGTCAGGCTGTTTGTCTGCCTGCCTGCATGTGAATATGCATGCATGCATGTATGTGTATGTACCTCACTACGAACCTTTTTCTGTCTATGTGTGTACGTACGTGCGTGAGTACCTACGAGGCCCCGTGTGTATGTGTGTATTTAAGTAATGCCTCACGTATGAACGGTTGTTGTGTGTCTAATGTCATGCATGCATGCAAGGATGCATGCATGCACGTATGCACGCACGTGTGGATGTGTGCATACATGTATGTGCACATGTCACCATGTTTGTCTGTGTTGATGTAGAAGGCGTGCCTCTGCATGCCCCAACATCATGCCTGCATGCATATTTGTGTACGTACGTATGAAGGTGTATGCGGGTATGTGCCGATGCATTTGACGTACGTATGCTTGGATGTATGAGTCTGTGTATATGTGTGTCCTGTACGGGTATGTATGTATGTAGGTGAGTGTGCGTGACTGCATGTCCCAAGCGTGTGTGTGTGTGTGTGTGTGCATAGTTTTGTCAATGGGCATGTGTTTGTGAATGCGTATGTATGTGTGCATGCACGCATGCAGGCAGGCATGCATGCATGGATGGATCTAAGTATGTATGTATGCAAGTGTATAGACGTAGGCACGTATGTACATAGCCATGTGGCTGTTTGGCAATGTGTGCGTGTGCATGTGTTTGTGTATGGGCATGTGTTTGTGAATGTCTCTGCATGCATGCATGTATGTTTGTATGATGTATTCCGTGTAAGTAATGTAATCTATGTAATGCCTGCATGTATGTATGTATGCATGTGTGTGCCTACAGGCAGGAAGTCGCCAATATCAATAACTGTTTGGCTCAGGATTTCCATCTGACGAGCCCGCCGTTCGGAAGTACCAGTGGGACGCTGCTCCACTTTGCTTACCACATGTTCGGCGCAGACATGGGGGGCTTGCGCCTTGAGTCTTGGAACAACACTTCCTGGACGCGATTGTGGTCTCGAGAGGGGTCCCAATTGTCTTGGTGGAAGGTCGCCATGGTGGCAGTTCCAGAGGATGCCAACCTGCTGCGCTTTGTGGGCACAACCGGCCCCGGCGAAGCGAGCGACATAAGCCTCGACATGATCGGCTTCGGCGTGCCCACCGTGCGGTTCACGGACATCGCGTGCAGCTTCGAGTTGGACGAGTGCTTGTGGTTCAACACAGGCAACTTGAGCTGGGAGCGTGTTGCCGGCCAGGCCCATGACGGAGGCTGGTGGCTGCAGGCCGTAAGCAATGCGCCGGGCCAAACATTCGTTCTTCAGGGACCACTCCTCCGCAACGACACCGACAAGGCAGGCCCTCCAGAGTCAGTGGTTCCTGCACCCATGCACTGCCATGCACCTGCCACTCTAGCCAATGATGTCCCTGTCAGGTCTTGTTCTTTGCATACAAGCTGTCTGGCTCCAGTGCGGTGGCTTTGGAGGTGGAGCACAAGACGGCAGAGACTAACTGGTCGAGCCTCTTCGTGAAGATAGGCGACACAGGCTCGTCGTGGCAGCTTGCATCGATTAGGGTCCCTCGAGGGGCTGTCGGGCTCCGGCTGCTCGGGAGTGGAGAAGCTGGAGATGAGGTGAAGATCGATGCTTTGATGGGAACGGAAGCTGCCTGGACGGATGTTGCTTGCACATTCGAGACTGACTTCTGTGGGTGGAGTACCAGAAAAGCTGGGTGGGACAGAGACTCTGATCACTCGGGTATGAAAGTTGGGGCCTACGAAGGTAGCCACTACATCTTCGCAGAGTCTGAGCCCCGTCAGAATTGTGGTTCACCAGACATCTCATAATTCAGATTTAACGGAAAGCTCGAAAGTACGAAAGCCCTGAGCCTGCAGGAATCCATCCTGGCCAGTCCAGTTTTCGAAACCGGTGATTCGAGGAGGCTTCTCTACTTTGCCTACCACTTCACGGGTAATACAGCCTATGATGTTGCAAGCCTGCGGCTGGATGCTTGGTTTGCCGACAGCGGCTTGACAACTCTCTGGTCGTACGAGGGTATCGGCTTCGAGGGCTCCAAGGATGAATGGCGTCTTGCGCTCGTCAGCATCCCAGAAAAAGCCATGGCGCTGCACTTTGTCATGCTTGCTCGCGGTGGTTTAAACGGTGTAGCCCTGGATGCCGTCAGCATCGGTGTGCCCACTGTGAACTTCACCGACCTCGCATGCGACTTCGAACTCGACAGGTGCTTGTGGTTCGATGCAGGTAGTCGTAGCTGGGAGCTTGTCACCGGTCACGCCTATGACGGAAGCAGGATGCTGGAGGCCACAGGCAACGGAAGCTTCATGCTGCAAAGCGCCACCATCTTCCCCACATCCGAGACAGACTTTCCTTTCGCCTACAAGCTGTCTGGCTCCAGTGCGGTGGCTTTGGAGGTGGAGCACAAGACGGCAGAGACTAACTGGTCGAGCCTCTTCGTGAAGACAGGCGACACGGGCTCGTCGTGGCAGCTTGCATCCATCCGAGTCCCCGAGGGCACAGTGGCCCTGCGCGTGGTGGCGACACTCTCTTCGGAAGGGGACGCAGTGAAGGTTGATGCGCTGCTGCCGAAGGCATCACACGACTGCCCCAGAGAATCTCAAACCCTAAGTCCTTAGCAGTAGAAGTGCCCTGCCAGGCCTGGTTTCTGCAGTCGGGGTGCTGGCCTTAGACAGGACGGCGGCGTGACCGTTAGGGCACATTCCTTCCCCCAGCACAATAGATTGCATAACCTTCAAAAGTTCCCTCGGCCACCATTACCCGGTGGTTCGTAGACGGGTCGAGGTCGTGTGAAGTTGACGGGGACTGCATCACGACTGGCAACTACCCTGACTGGTCTCCGCAGTGGGAGGAGTGCTACTTCTCCATGGCACGGCCTTTTGATCCGCGACGACCTCTACTCATCGAGGCCGTGAACTTCACCGTAAGTGGGATCACACACGATCAGCTGTTGCAGATCAACAGCATCGGATACGCCGGCGGACATTCGCCGCAGGGGGTCGTGCCGCGAGGTGGGATCTTCAAGTGGCGGACCTCTTACAGCAACTTTGACACCAAGTGGAAGCTCTGCCTGGCACCTGGCGAGGCCAGGCCTTAGCAGCCAGCAACTCAATACTACTTGTGGGGTTTAGGGGGGCTCCTTCGCGATGCTGAGCTGGGAACCCTCGCATTCAGGACCTCCTGAGCTATCTCACAAATAAGGCACCCCCCACAAGTGCAGGTTGCCTTTGAGGCAGTCAGCTGCAACTTTGAATTTGATGCCTGCCTCTGGTTCAACACGGGTGACTCCACGTGGCAGCGGGCCAGCGGCCAGAGCGGCCAGGCCTACAGTGACGACATGTGGATGGAGGCCGGCAATGCATCGGACGGACCAGGCCAAAGCTTTGTCATGGAGAGCTCCACCTTCGCTGCCACCGCTGGGAAAGTCCTGCATTTTGCCTACCAGCTGCATGGCCCCTCCGCATCCCTGGAGGTGGAGCACAGGACGTCGTCCGGTTGGTCGAGCCTGTTTCTGAGGACTGGTGAGACGCCTCCTGTGTGGCAAGCTGCACGGATGGAAGTGCCGGATGGCACGGTGGCCCTCCGATTGATAGCGAACCTCTCCTCGGAGACAGACGTGGCGAAGGTCGACTCCGTGGCCGCCTCCGAGGCACGGGCAATGCAAGCTTTCGGATTACTGTTAGCAGCAGCCGTGTCGGTGCAGAAGCTGATTTCAGACTCTGACTTTGAGACCACCTAGCCAAGGCATGGACGCTTCTCGGCGAGCCCAAAAGATGTGTCGTGGACGGAGACTGCATCACGAGCCCCAACTTCCCAAACCCCTATCCTACCCACTGGGAGTTTGCAGACGCGGACTGTCACTTCTCTGCCGCACCCTTTGATCCTCGCCACCCGCTCGTCATCGACGTGAACACTTTCTCCACGAGGGATGACGTCTTCGAAGAGCATATCCTCGAGGTCAACGGCATTTATTACCATGGCCAAACCGGCCCTCAAGGTATCGTACCACGAGGGACACTCTGGTGGCGGGCCGAATCCTCAGAGGAGGCTCAGCTTGAATGAAACTAAACCCTAGGCGATTGAGTCTTAGCACAGACACTGACAATCTTTGCTTGCTTACCACACGTTATGTTGGACCTTTTTCGTCCGAAAGTGTTGCCTAGGCCGTTACAGTATCCACTGTTTCGGGGGTATGCCATCCCAATGCGCACAGCCCTGCAGGCTATTGTGGCGAACTCCCACACCGGCTGGAAGCTTTGCCTTGTGCCTCTTCAGGTGACCTTGGAGATGGTGAACTGCGGCTTTGAGCACGACAAGTGCCTTTGGTTTGACACGGGCGATCTCACCTGGAAGCTGCAGGCCGCCCAAGAGGGTGCGGGTGCTGACAAGGCCGACGATGGAGGCTGGTGGCTCCAGGCTGGCAATGCATCCTTTGGGCAGAGGCTCAGCCTAGAGAGCCCTCGCTTCGCTGCGGGGAGGGACAAGGTGCTCTTGTTTGCCTACAAGGTAACTGGCTCCGGCTCGTCCTTGGAGCTGGAACACGAGACTTCCGCCGGCTGGTCGAGCCTGTTTCTGGAGATGGGACAGGGGTCAACGGGACTGTCTTGGACATACGCTTTGGTGAAAATCCCTGAAGATACCTTTGCTCTCCGGCTGCTGGCGAGGCTCGCTTCGGAAGAGGACGTGGTGAAGGTGGATTCGATCTTGGCGGCGAGCTCGGTTCCCAGCGCAGAGAACATTACCTGCAGCTTTGAGTCCGACTTGTGCGGCTGGTCCACAGCCGCCGTCGAGTCAGACCCTGGTGGCATCTCCTGGCGGCGCACAAGCGGCAGCGCCTTCCAAGGCGACTGGTACCTGCGCTTCGACGACCCTCGCGCATCGGGTGATTTAACGGACCTACGCGACGAGGATACGGGCGGAAATAAGAGAAGGTGCATAGGTAGGGGGGGGGGAGGGGCATGCCGGAGGGCAGGGTGCGGCAGGAAAGCATTGTGAGTCCGGCCTTCCCTGCCACCACCGATGAGTTGTACCTGGAGTTTGCCTACCTCATGTCGGTGACTTCGGGGACTGACACGTTGCTCGCACTGCAGTATCTCCAGAAAGGTCGTTGGCAGACACGCTGGTCACGAAGAACCTCTCAGGGCAGCACCTGGCTTCAGGCCAAGACGACGCTCCCTGTGGGGACAGAAGTGCTGCGCTTCGTCGCTTCAAGCAGAAGCTCCATGAGGCTGGACTCCGTGGTCGTTTGGAAGCCGGTGACTCCAGGCCGCGGAGGGTCTGTGTGCCCGTGTGACTGAAAGCGTCAAGACTAAGAGACTGCTAACAAGAAAAAGATGAAGAAAGAACGGAAACATGTAGTGGAAAGAACTATGGCGTAGACCCCAAAAAGCGAAATGAGCACCTGAGCCCAAGAACCGTCCCAAGTCGCAGCATGGAAACCGATACATGGACCCAACGTACGGCCAAATAAGCGTGTTGAAGATGAAGTTTTCTCTCTCGGCTGGAATGCCAGCTATCGAACATTTTCTCAGTCCGGCAAAAGTGCTTAAGGAAGAGAGCCGGAAATGTCGACAGCCACACAGACCATGGCCGGGACCACAACAACGGCAGCTTCGCCATGATCAGGGCGGAAGGCGACAGAAGCCCCAAGAAGTACGGAGGCAAATCCAAAATACAGAGAGTACAACAACAGCCGAATGAAGCAGGTAAACACGAACCAAAGGATCAGGACTATCCCGAGCGTTTGCTGCCCTACCGTCGCCCTCAAGACTCAAAAGTGTTCTAGTGTGCTCGCTGTACTGCGATTCGCTCAATGAGGATGCTGCTATGTGTTGCTGTCAGACTCTCAGTACACTGGTTGTTTGTTCTTCGTACCATGTAGTTCTAGTAGTCTTACTGCTGGAAAGTTGCCGATCACCAAGTAGTTTGTATGCCACTGCCACTGCTCGTTTGTTCCAATGTTTGCTGGCATTCTATCTTGCCATTCCGATTAGTCCTCTTCCTCCTACCGGTAGGATTGCTGCCACTGTCCCAACCTAGGAGACAATGCGCAACAGAAAGCGTCTCAGAAAATCTGCAGCGCAACAGCAGTTTTGCTTTAGGGACTTTATGGATGCTTGGCCTTCCGCGTGGCGCTGTAAGCGAGCCAAACCTAGACTTCCGGATATGCCCTGGGCTGGCCCCCGTGTTTCCAAAGAGCTTGACTCACGCGCAGGCACGGGGGGCCCCGTCTCGATCACGGCTGGCGGTTACCACAATTGTGCCTTGCTGCTGGCTGAAGGGCGTGTGAAGTGCTGGGGCTCAGGCGCCAACGGTCGCCTTGGTTACGATGGCACCAGCGGAGTTGGCAGCGAAAGCAACTCCATGGGCGAGGCCCTGCCATTCGTGGACCTGGGCGACAATGCCCCAAGGGTGATCCAGGTGTCGGCGGGCCGCGAGCACAACTGTGCAGTGCTCGAAGATGGAGGGCTACGTTGTTGGGGCCATAACGAGGATGCCCAGCTGGGTTTGGGCTTAGATCGGACAGAATCATGGGGCGACCAGCCTGGTGAGATGGGTGCCTTCCTCCCCGCCGTAAACCTGGGTGCGAGAGCCGTCGTCCAGCAGGTCGTAACCGACCACTTCCACACCTGCGCGTTGCTGCAAGCTGGCAAAGTGCAGTGCTGGGGGTGGGGACAAATCCTCGGCTCCCTAGCTGTTCTGGACATGTGCTCACTCAGAGCTTGCTCCTTTTCTGTTTGTAGGAAGAGATGAAGACTGCTTTACAGCCCCGCAGAACCGCAAAAAGCAGATTGCCAGGCTTGGAGCTAGCCAGACCGTTCTTTGGCCTTTGGACCTGGTCCGGGCCCCAAGGGGGATCAGTGATGCGATCGCGCGCCGGGCGCCGGCCTAGATGGATGTCCCCTTTGGAGCTGCTTCGGGAAAGGGGTGTTGTTACGTGTTTCTTCTGCTGCAATTATGCCAGTCAGGATCGATGAATATGTTGGCGATCACCCGGACGACATGGGGGACAAAGACGGCGTTTTGGTCGGGCTTGACTTCGTCAATCTCGGCTCAGACTTCCATGTCGTGCAGCTCACAGCGGGAGCGGAACACACATGTGCGCTTTCGAGCGAAGGCCTGGTGAAGTGCTGGGGTGGTGGCCCCGCCATCGGCCAGGGGATTCCCTTCGCGGACTGGGGCCCTGAAGTCTCCTCCTACTATGTAGGCGACGAGTATCAGGAGATGCTTGGCCTTCAACCCTTGGACCTGGGCATGAAGGTTCTGCAGATCTCCGCCGGCCGTTATCACACCTGCGTGGCCGCTCGCCTGCAGATGCCTTCTGATCTCTTCATGACACAACGCAGATGAATGCAAAATACCTGCAGGTATCAAGGTAGTTGCAAGGCTTCAGCATTGAACGCAGCTCGCAGCATCGTTTTGAGCCCTCGACCCTCCAACTGAAGGTGCTGTCGGATCACTCCGTCAAATGCTGGGGCGAGAATGCATCTTGGCAGCCTAGACCACAAGACTATGCAAACCCTCAGCTTTACATTTGCCTCAACCTTTCGACCTGAGACACACAAAGCTCTAAATTCAAGTCTTCGTGCGAAGGACGATGGGCAGCTGGGCCATGGGAGTATCACGCATCAGGAAATTGCGGATGCCAAGCTCTTTTAGAAGGCTTTGGGGCTCCGGGTCTAGTAGCTGCGGGCATGCGTTGTGCTGTATGAGTTAGCCATCCACCCACCCCCCGCAGCGCCAACGCTGCGCTGGATACGGCCAAAATACCCCAACAGCATGCGGCATGATGGCATGCGTGGCAAAAGCGAACTTTTGCCTCATCTCGACTCCGAGATTCTCTTGATTTGTGGATGCTTAAATAAGATCCGTTGCAGAGGGTCTGACGAGGCTGCAGGGATCAGCTTGACTTTAAGGATGCCAACCTGCCCACGACTGATTTGGGCGAAGACATGTTCGCGCAGCGAGTGGAAGCGGGGGATTACCACACCTGCGCCATTCTGTTGGACGAGTCTCTGAAATGCTGGGGTCGGGGCACTGCGGGGCAGTCGGCGCCCCAGAGGGCCGTTGCGAGGCAGACTCCATAAGGTAGACACAGGCGCTCTTAGTGAGATTGTTCAACTCCTTTCCCTACATTGAGGCTGGGTCAGGGAAGCGTGGAGAACCTGGGAGACGAGCCCGGGGAGATGGGGGACCAGCTCCGGCCGATTGATTTGGATGCCAAGGGGGTGCGGCAAATCGCAGCCGGCAGAGAACACACCTGCGTCGTACTCGAAGATGATGGCATTCGCTGCTGGGGGGGGAACAGCTTTGGACAGCTGGGCCTGGGTGACGACGTCAACGTGGGCGATAACCAGGGCGAGATGGGTGCAGCTTTGAAAGTCACAGAAGTCTTCCAACCCAAGCCAGGCGCTGGCATGGAGGAGGTGCGCCTGAGTGATGGGGCCGGGGAAGGTGTCCGACGCCTACGGCTTCTGAGTGATGTGCCTGGGGCGGCCGCGGAGGGCCTCCTGCAGCTTCGTCACAACGGCTCCTTCGGTTTCGTTTGCGACGACCTGTTCAGCGATGTCACCGCACAGGTGCCAGCGCGGAGAGAGAAAGCTACTGTAGCCATCCCACTCCCAGCAAAGCCTGAAGAATGCAGGCCCACTCTGTCTGGCTCGGGAATCAGCAAAGAATTCAAACTGCTTCGGGTTGAAGCATAGGACAGGAAGGCTTTAGCCGAAGCTGGCCCTATTGCTGGTGAACCGCTCAACGACCCTGAGCTCCTCGCGAAGCCTAGACCGCCTCTACCCTAGACCCACATAAAAACCCTAAACGGCCCTAAACCTACCGAAGACCTCGGCGCTGTGCTGAAAGGTGGCCTGCCGGGATCTTGGCCTGGCTGGTGGCCGGGCCATTTTCCGAGACCCGGCGAGTCAAGAAGCCAAGGAAGAACAACTGCGGGAGGGCTTTTTGCCAATTCCGGCGCGAGATGGGCTTTGGTGTTTGGTCAGCGGTGTTTTAGAGTGTGTTCTTTGAAAGGTTCGGAGTCGAGAGAGAGATGCAAGCTAAACCGTGGCTTGTGGTCCATTCCGAAACAGGCTCCTATACTGCTTAGGGTCCGGATCACGGTCCCTCTCTTCGGAAGCTTCCTTCTCGGGTTTAGGGTGCAGGGCGTAGAGCGAGAGGAGCTTCATGGCGAGATCCTGGCCGACAACCTTGTGTGCCAGGGCACAGAAACGAGTTTGTCGCAATGCAGCTTCCGAGGCAAAGAGGGCGTGCACAGCCATGTTCTTGGGGGCTTCGGGAGTCTAACTCTTGAATTTGAAGTTCTCAGACACCAGCATGGTAGAATTGGTAGAAGGCTACAAGGGTGTGAGGCAAGGAGAAGCCCCCAGAGCCGTTCGATGTCGGAGGTTGGCGCATACACGACTGCTCGATTCGCGAGGCCGCAGGCGGGCGCAGCAAAGCGTGGCCGGACAGCGCGAACCACGAGTCGTAGTCTAAAGTGCCTGTAGCCGCCAGCTGTGCTTCTGTTAAACTTCTGTGCAGGCGTAAGGTGCGAGTTGGATGCGTGGAGCGAGTTCACCGCTGTTGGCCCAGCAGGACGCCAAGACCACAGCATGGTTTGGGACTCAGAGACCCAGTCAGCTCTGGTTTTCGGGGGCGCGGCAGCCAATACCTTCCGGTACTTCGCAGACTTGTGGAGCTACCACTGGCCATCGCGCACGTGGACGGAACTAGATGGGAGCGGCCCAACAGCTAGATCTGGGCACAGCGCTGTCTGGGATCCGGCTTCCGAGAACATGCTGATCTTTGGCGGCACACTGCTGGGTGTTGCAAACAGCGAAGTTTGGTCCTATCGGCTGGAGCATCGCACCTGGCAGCAGTTGGCAGTCACTCACTCACCAAGACCTCGAGCGTACCACACGGCCGTTTGGGATCCACTCTACCAGACCATGCTAATTCTTGGAGGGGAGGACGGGGAGACTTTGGCGGACCTTCAGCGGTTCAGCGTCACGGCAGGGTCCTGGACGGCTCGGGGCGGCTCTTCGCCCGAGCCACGCAGCCGGCATACTGCGACCTGGGAGCCCAGCAGTCGTTCCATGTTGGTCTTTGGCGGCTGGGATGGCCAACGCTACCGCTCGAGCCTGCTTCGCTACCATGCTTGGTCCGACAGCTGGGATGAGGTTTCGGCTCTTGGCGCAGTGCCCTTGCCGCGTGCTGGGCATGCGGCTGCCTGGGACCCCATCACGACCAGCCTCCTGGTTTTCGGTGGCGTCCAGAACGTGTCCCACCAGGACCCCGTTTCGGCGAGCGACACGCTCACGGAGCTTGGCTACGACGACAAGCTCTACAATTTCAGCCTCCTCACGGGTGCCTGGACGGAGTTCCCGGTCCGAGCCGACATCCCGGGACCCTCGGCCCGTGCCTACGCCAGCATGGCCTTCGATGCGGCGAGCACGTCGCTATTGCTCTTCGGCGGCTTCGATGCATCGTACCTACAGGAGCTGTGGAGATACGCCATGTCGCCCAAGCCAGCCGCACATACCGACAGATGCCAGCTCGGAAAGGCATGCGTGCTGGCCGCGAGTCCTTTGCCGCGCCTAGCCGTGAAGCGAGAGTGCCGAGACTCAGAGATCCTAGACTTTCGCACCCGGGACGGCCAAGCTTTGCTGGTGGAACCGGGCAGCTATCAAACCTGTACGTGTGAGGATGAGCTGGGCCCAAATTGCAGCCAGCCGTCAGAATTCGGTGTCTCGGTTGGTCATTTCCTTGCCGAAGGGCCCCACACCAATCAATCTGCCAGCTGCTACATCGGTCAGGCTTGTGCAGTCCCAGAATGGTCTGGCGTCGGAATCTCCACCGGCGACAGCATCATACTCCGAAAAGACTGCAAGACTTCGCGGGCATCCTTCTACAGCGGCGCGCTGGTGACGATCGGCTTCAACCCGTCTGCGAATGCCCTCTTCCTGGACATGGGCGACATCGAAGGCGCCGGTGCTCCGGAGGCCCGCTCCACTCTCCTTCCAAACTTTCTTTCTCCAAACTCAAACTCGAACTCTCTCTGTAGTCCCTCGCTTTTTTCTTTTTAGAAGCTGCGCAGGTCGTGGAGCTGTGCTGGTGTCCCTCCGGCAGCGTCTGCGAGAGCCCCGAAGACTTCAGCATCCCCGCCCTCGAGCTGCACGTCCGGTGCCCGCCCGGGCAGTACGAGCTGGACGGGCTTTGCCACCTTTGCCCTGCCAACAGCTACTGCCCCGATGGCCAAACGCAGCAGAGTTGCCCCGTGGCAAGCACGTCCGCAAACGGCTCCAGTGGGCTCCCCAGTTCTTGTTGCGTGCTGAAGACCAAGAGACCTCCGTTTCGGGAAGCACTGAGCTAGATCGCTTCTGAGGCCAGCTGGAAGAATGTCTATGCATCAAGGGACGCTATCGCAGCGCCGAGAGTGCAAGCTGCCTCGTCTGCCCGTGCCTTTGACCTCCTGCTTTTTTTTTTCTGCTTGTGGGGTATTGCGGATCTAGAATCTAATGCCCCAAACCCCCCGGCAGCCCAAGCGCGCTCTCAAGGTATGGCTCCACAACGGAAGCGGCGGGGGCCACCTCGGTGTCCTCCTGCGTGTGCCAGGAGGACTTTGTGAACCTGGACCCAGCGAATCCGGCAGACTGCGAGTGTGGCCCGGGTTTTGGCTTGGATGTGGCATCAGGCTTCTGCGGGCCGTGCCCACAGGGGGCCTACAAAGAAGTGGGCGGCAATGTGCCCTGCTCTCCTTGCCCGGCGGAGCAGTCCACCTTGCAAACCGCTTCCAAGTCGGCCGACAGCTGCTTTTGTCAGCCAGGCTTGTTCTTGGAGAACGTCAGCTGCTCGAGGTCGGGTCGTTGAGTCGATCGGGTCGGGTAGAAATCGGGTCCCGAAGGCTAAAGCTCTGCTTTGCTCTCGCTCTGGCTGCAGGTGCCTCCCGGGCTTCTACTGCAACGGCACCGGGGAGGCTTTTCCGTGCCAGGAAGGTGCCAACTCCGCACCCGGGGCCAGGTCACCGGAAGACTGCCTGTGTCGAGCTGGCCACTACAAGAATGACACCACTTCGGCTTGCACCCTTTGCCCCAAGGGCCGCTACAAGCAGTCGGATGGAAACGAGGGTTTCTGCCCTCTGCAATGCCCTACAGATGCCGACAGCGAAGAAGGCTCCGTTTCCTTGTCTGCTTGCTTCTGCAAGCAGGGCTTTTCAGCATTTCTGGATTCGGCCGCCAATCTTGCACGCTGTGACAACTGCGATGCCTTCGTAGCCTTGAGCTGTCCCGGCGGCTTTCATGACGGTACCACGGATCACCGCTTGCCAGTAGCAATCCCGGGCTATTTTCAAACAGGCGCCCTGGTGGAAAGCACAAACATGCCGTAGTTGTTCTGCTAGAGGCCCACAGCCCGCATGACGCATCTCATTCGAACTATCTATATGCACGTAAACATGGCATGCATGCATGCCTCCATGCATGTGAATGTATGACACAAGCACACCAGTAGCACACCGGCACGAGCAGTTCAGGCAGGGTCACGGCCATCAAATGCAACAGCGTTGTGGACGGTGGCCTCAGCGCTTGCTTGGGCAGCGGCAGTTGCAGCGAAGCCATGAGCTGTGTGGCCCGGATGCGGAGAGCTTTTGGGAGCCCAGAGGGCTAGGATGGGCTAGGGGGCCTCGTAGGGCCGATAGGGATGCGGCTGAGTGCCGTTCTTGGATTCCTTGCGAGGCCGGGAACTTTAGCAACGCATCTTGGCTGCTCTGAGTCAAGGGCCCCTAAGCTCGGCGAGCTGTGGTGAGAGTTCCAGGAGCCTGAAATCCGAAAGCTCAAAAGGTTATAAGAGCCTCCCTCGATTCTGAGCTGGTTCTCGGGCGTGCAGGGCTGAGCCCCGAAGTTCCAAACGCAGCTAAACCTGAATCCTGCAGCTCGGGGTTTGAAGTTAAAGCTGCAAGGGTTTGCGCAGGGATTGGGAAATATGTGGTTGGGTTATAACCGGGAAAAACCGTCAACCGTCCATCTTCACAGGCCTGTGCGGAGGGCTCCGACGGACAACTTTGCGGCGAGTGCCCGAAGGGCTGGGCCAGAGCCAGCTTCCAGGCTCCTTGCCAGCCGTGCCCGGAGGCACGTGGCGCTTTGCGCTTCACTTGGACGTAGGGTGGGAGGGAGAGATGGAGCATGCTGTAGAACCTTGCTGTCTTTGGGTGGCGCATTTCCAGCACGGAACTGTATCCGAATCCCACAAGAACGCAGACTTGGGCAGCTCTGACGGTCTGAGTCTCTGAGTCTTGGTTCGTGGCAGGTTCCCTCACTGCCGCTGGTCGTCTCCATCCTGAGCGATGTGGGGCTCAACGTTGTCGTCAACTTCGTGGTTGCAGCGATGGCCGCGACCGCAGCGGTGCGTGGCAGCAGCAAGTTGCACCGCGGCAACAGATGCGCCGGGCGTTCATTCCAGGTTACTAAGCCGTGTTGCAGTGTTGCGGCGTCATGTTGGGTTTGTGATGGAGGCTTGGGCTTGGACTCAGGCATACCATCATGATCCGCATCGCTACCCAGTGGCTGGCGGCCTGCTCCGTCATCGCGACCTTTCAGTTGGACCAAATCCAGGCCAGGCCCAATAGAAGCGGCGTGCCGAAGTCCGGAAAGAAAGCTCAAAGCTACGTCCCGAAAGGCAATACACGAAGCCACCTGAGAGCCCAATTGCCAATCTCGCAACTAAGCCGATTCAAGCACTGCCCCGCTTCACGACAGGATCCGCAATTCAAAGATTCAGACCAAGAGCGGACATCCGCGCAATGTCGTTTTGTTGTGTCTGGAAATCTTCGAGTCGTGGCAGCCATTGGCAACGCCCTTGTCCAAGCCTCGCCCACGCCCTGCCTGGCTTGTCCACGCCCCACCCTCTCACCGACCGCGCACCCGATATCTTGCTCTCCCGCCCCTTGTCGATGCACGCCCCACGCACGCACCGTCCGCACAATTCCAGCCACCCACACCGGCGCACCGACGCAACCATCCACCGTCTAGTAGTCCAAAGATCTTCCGAAGACAGGGGTCGACATCGTGCACCTCGAGTTCGAGCACTAAACGAGAACCCAACTTCAGAGGGTTTTCGGTAATAAAAAACATACAGCTGTAGGTCCCCGCAGCTTGACCGGATTTCAGGTGGAGTTTCCGTGGGAGGCAGCGACGGCCGGTGACGCAGCCGGCTCCGCGACGTTGACGTTTGCGTGGCCGGAGGAGGCACCTCAAGGTTTCTGAGTTTCGTAGAGGTCTCACTGTTAAGGGCCACTTTTCTTTGTGTGGCACAGCACGCGGCATGCAAAGTCGGTGCTGTTTAGCCATGAAGAGCCGCCAGCATCTACAAGTGAGAGGCGAAACTCAAACCCAAGTCCAAAGCATACAGAAATCGGAAGCTTCAATCCTTTCCAAATCCTTAACCTTGACAAACCCCTCGTCACACCTCGCTGCTGCAGGTGACGCGGGCATTGCGGGCCCTCTTCGACTCCCTGAGTTTAACGCCCGCCTGGGTCTCCGTGGACTTCGCAGCGCAGTGCCGGGCCCAGGCGGGCCCTGCTTGACAGAGTACAAAGACTTCCAGCAGCTCTAGCAGTTCTAGCTTCCGGGGAGTGGGGCATTTCTGAGGGTTGGTCGGGGCGGAGTTGGGAGTTGTTGGGAGTTGCGGTACTTGGGCGCTGCAGGGTTCCCCAGGCCTCTGGGGCCGCTTTCAGCTTTGACTCGTGTTTTGACACCTTCGAAGCTCGAAGCCTAAGAGAGAAATGCCGGGCTTTGAACTCGGTGTTTTTTTCTGAGCTCAAGCGAAGTGCCAGCTTGGGAGGAGCTCTCGGAGAATCCGAGCTTCCCTCGTGTTGCTCTCGGCTTGTACACCATCTGCCTCCCGCTGCTAGCGATCATCGGTGTTGTGGTCTTCTGCTCTCTGGCGGTCTACATCGTGGTGCCCTTGGCCTCGCGGCTGGGCTACTCCTTCAACGAGGCCTGCTGTCGGGACGGGGGAAGACGGGGAAGCGAGAAGGGAAAGCCAGTAGCCAGGCCTTCGCAGCCGTTCCATCGTGAGCCGTTCAGGTCGGGCGCAAGATGCAGAAGCGTGGCAAGTTGATGGTGCAGCTCTGGGAGGCGCTGGAGAAAGTGCTTCTGAAAGCGGAGGTTTCCGTGTCCTTCGACGAGCTGGAGCAGAGTGGCGTCCTGGACGTGTCCCAGAGCGAGCTGCAGGAGGCGACGAAGGAACCCGATGCCTTCCTTCGCAGGGCCGTGGTGAGCTCCCGAGCTTTGATGATCCGAGCCTGTGCCGATCGCGATCGGGCGCAGAGCTGCAGTGCCGCAGAGGACGAGCTGGCGGCGGAGGCCCTCTCTGAGGCGGAGCTGAAGCTGGCACCCTTGGATGAGGCGCTCCTCCTGAAGATGGATCTTAGCCCTTTCCTGCAGAAGGAGGTCGCTGAGGAAGCTGATCTGCTGGAGACCCTCCTGGACAAGATCATCGCCGAGGCTTCAGGCCTTCCCCTCCTCGAGCATCAGGCCGGATGATTCCGAGGTTTGGGTTCATGCTAACCCCTGCCCGCCCCAATTCAATGAAGCTCCAAACCCTGCGAAACTCTCTCTGGCGCTCCCGATCCATCGCAGACTGCTTGTGTTGTTGATGTCATTCCTTCCCGCATCCTGAGAGCTCTTACTGCTGAGCTCGGCGGGGATTTTTTTCCATCGCCACTCTGCCAGAAACCGCCCGGGTTAGCAGCTAGCACCTGCACTCAGTGGAAAAAAACCCCTGCTGGGAGCTTGGAGGCGGCGGTTCGGCGGTTGGTGGGCCCCCCCCCCCCCCAACGCAGTGCTAAGTCTTCTGGCCACCCGCAGGGTTTTGGGGCTCTCCTGGGCCAATTGTGTTGTGGGATTTCGGCGGCGCCCAATGAACCAAAGCAATGTGAGCTGTCCTTGAACATAAACACGATGTGACAGAACGCAAGTCCAGCTGCAAGTAGTTGCGCTTGGACGCACACTGTGGCAAAGCAGGTGAAACGCAAGCATGCAGGTCGACCATCCGGTTTCAAAAGTGTCGGGGTCTACAGATGACATGCAGCGGTTGATGTCATTCTTTGCCTGCATGCTGGCAGCCTTGAGCATCAGTTGCTAAAGTACTGGCATGGACGAAACCGCAACTGAAGTGTGGTCGTTACCATTCCTACCTTGAGCCGAACAGCCGGAGCCCTCCCACACAACGCCACTTGGCGCTCAACGGTCTTCTGCGTTGAACACCCAGTCCAGCCCCGTGCAGCAGGGTACGCGGACCTCAGCTGCTGATGTGTAGGGTGCGGGGTTCAAAGCCAAGGAGGTCGCGCCTGGTAACCTGGTATTGTCAATTGCCGATGCCCGAAAGGGAAGCCCCGACTTCTGTGAGGCGGAGGGCACCGAAAACGGGCAGGCGCAGCCAGGCGTGGAGCAGCAGGAGGAGGCAGCTGGGGCAAAGGGGCAACTGCGGACTTTGAGGCTAGAGCCGAGGCTGTTCCTAGCTGGAGACTCCGAAACGAGTATAATATGAAGCATGAGAACCATCGTCGCTTGTAAGATCTTCCTCAAGTCGGAGACGCCTCCTGGCCTAATGTCAGACTCTCCGCTCTCTCTCTCTCTCTCTCTTTCTCTCTCTCTCTCTCTCTCTCTCTCTCTCTCTCTCTCTCTCTCTCTCTATCTCTCTCTCTCTCTCTTGCAAGCTTAGGAGATAAGTTCGCATAAAGCTTACAATTAGTAGAGCCGAGTGTTGAGGGTTTTTTTCATAGGTGTGCCAAGCCCCCGTCTAGGTATGCATCCCGTCTAGGTATGCATCGAGCTTAGGCGGTTTCCACACACAAACGCCTGAAACTTTGTCAGTGTCTCCTATCTTGCCGCTCTTAGCCCCTATTTGTCCACCTCAATGGCTCAGCCGTGAAGAGAAGGCCGCCGGCGAGCCGGTTTCTCCAGTCCCACCAGAAGAACGAGTGGTGGACGTAGCCATTCTGACGCCGGACTGCGAAAAGGGATTTTTGCTTCTGCTTGTTAGAGACTGAGGGTTTCCCTTGTGGTGGGGAGACGTTTGTTGAGCCTTGGGGTGGCTGGCTCGCTTTCAAGGAAAGCCAAACAGTCAACCGTGAGCATCGCCACCTTGCGGTCCAGTGCATCGTCAAAGACCACTGCGCGGACGAGCGGGTCGAGCCATAAACGAGCCACTCATTTCGACGTTGACCCAGAGCTAGACGAGGCGGGACATACGAGGTGGTGGAAATTGAACTCCAAACTGCAAGTCCCAAAGCCCAAGGGCCTGCTCGTTCTAGCAGCAGCTGCCCAGAGTAGCTTCGAAGTTTCTGTGCGATTTAGAATCTGCGACATTGGTTGACGCGCTTGCACAAGATACTGCAGAGGGTGCGTGCGGTCATGACATCGCTGAGGGTGTGAGAGAGAGAGAGAGAGAGAGAGAGAGAGAGAGAGAGAGAGAGCCTGATCCTTCTCAAAGCCTGAGCAGTAGACCTTCACCAGAATTGAGATCTGGATCCACAGATTTAGGCCCAGGATCTTGCTTGTCCTGAGTGGCGAAGGCCGGAGCCCTGTAATGTCCTCGACGTCTTTTGTCGGCGAAGCCCAAGTCCCAATGCTAAGCATTTACCATTCATGTTCTACCGAATCCAAAAAGCTACAGGCAACGACCCGAGCAAAACGGCGTCTGCCTTCGCATTCTGTGGCCAATGTGGCCAACGTGGCCAGGCCATGGACTCTCTCGACTTCGGCCTCTTCACTCATCGCCCGGGCATGGGAGCGCTGGTCTACCAGAGTGTACCCGTGCTCCGGACGGCAGGAAGCCCTTAAGACCCTCCTAAGCTCTCTTCTGCATCACTGATGCCTGGGGACCCTCAAGAGTGGCGCCGAAGGCCATGTCTGGCATGAAACAAACAGCTAGCATCTGCCACAGCCCAAGACTCGGTCAGGTTTTCAAAACTCCCAAACTACATTCAAGGTCATCTGGATCACACTGGTTGCTCTTTGGCCCGGACTTCTTTCCAGCTTCCTTTCCATGATATGGTGCGTGCCCATCCCGGAGGACGCCAAACGCCAAGCCGGTAACCTGCATGCACCCCGTGATGCAGATTTTGCTCGAAAGAGGCCCCGAAACCCAAGCTCCCAAGTGCCTTTCGTTTTCCAGGACACCTGGGGCCCAGACGGCGTTGTCACTGAGACTGTCAGCCGGCTGCTCCCGAACCCCGACGTCGTGTGCTGGAGCGATGAGCACTTTCCCTCGGCCGTGATCGCCATTTCTGGCCTCATCATCTGGTGCTTTGTCTGCATCTTTGGATAGTTTACGCAGCCGACACGCCCCGACGCCCCGTCACTCGCTTCATGAGGCCTCAACTTTGAGCCACACGCGGCCTGAAAGCGGCCTCTGTCTGAGGTGTTTGGGCATCCCTCTGACTCTAGCCCTGGTGCTCCTCCGCTTGAAGAACCGGCAGGCCATCGACAACAGCCGGCGCTTTGGTTACTTCCTTCAAGGTTTGGAGCACCAGTACTGGTGGTGGCCTGGCCGTGCTTGGCCGTTTCTTGTGCGAGTCTCTTCTCGAAGGCTTGGGTTTTATGCTAGCTCAGGCTTCAAAACGGAAGCCCCCTCCTCGGCCGAGGTGGGACATCCTTGTCAAGAGGGTGGATGTGGGCTTGATGATGCTGCTCGAAGGCAAGCAAGCCGTCACCTGCGCCTCCGTGTGTTGAACCCTGCCACCCAAAGCCTTCGAAGCGAAGCCCTCATTCGATGATGTTATTATTCTTCAGGTACAACCACATGGACCGTAAGCCTCGAGCACCGAGGCTGATCACCTACACCTCTGTCGTGCAAGAGCCTGCTTCGAAGCTTTTGATCTTTCCCGTCCTGTCCGGTTTCCAGGAGCGGGGCCTGTTCGGAAGTTTCAGGAGGCAGCAGATAGCACACAGGGCCTGGAGGCACCTCTGAAAATCTAGCGAAGCAGGAGCATCTATGAACAGTTTGCGACCGAACAACAAGTTTGTAAGGTACGGCTGCGGGCTTGGGACTGTGGCTCAACCCTCAACTGGCTTGAGGCTTATAGGTGAAGTCTTCAAGATCATGCCCCTGCACGACCCGAGCCCAAGCTTTCTGCTGAAGCAGATGGGATGCACAGCGGTCGTTTCCTTGATTTGTGCACCTGTCCAATCTCGAACATGCACATGTTCCCTTCTTGCCAGGCACCCTTATGCCCTCTCATCCCATCGGGTCAGCACCCTTATCAAAGTAATAAACTTGTCGGCACCATCCCAGGAGGCCACATGTTTTGCTGTGTCACTGTTGTCTTGTGTGCTCTTGGACCGATTTCCCCAAGTGACAGCGCCGCCAAGCTCTTTTCTTAACTCCAGTGCTGATGTCGCCCGCTTGCTTGTCAACCCATTGAAAGTTGAACTTAACGTGAAGTGTAGAGCTGCAAAGGCAAACTCATATGTGCCGTGGTGGGCCTTCTTGAATGCCGATTCCCATTAAATTCAATGCACTTTCCCTCTATGATCCCCAAACTGTCGCACATCTTTGTGGTAGTGCCAGCGTAAGCGTCAGGTGGTCCTTGTCGTTGCGGCCTCGACTGTGCAATGCAGTTACATATTACATACATGTCAATTAAACACCACCGACGTAAGCGCTCCCGCTGCTGCTGCCGCGTATACCCTGCATGGTGTGGATCGTCGTCTTATCACCTTTGGAAGAGCCTCTGGCCCTTCATGCCTGAACTGGAGCGGGGTTTGGGTCATGTCGCGCTAAGTCGCAACATCCCCCCGCATCTCCCCAAATGTGCAGATGGGCTTGGCCGCTTGGGTGAAGCCCTACGCCAACGACCAGGCCGAAATTCTCGATGTGCTGGAGGCGTCCCCGGGGCCCTTGGGGTGCAAAGCCCACACACACTCCACACCGACGCACACGTTCATTCTCACTTAGGCCAGCACACCAAGGCTTCTGCGGTTTTTTTTCGTTAGTAACCTCATAGTTTAGTAAGAGATGTTCAGAGATTGCTGCCTTCTGATGGTTTCACTTCTTGGGCTTGGGGGCCTGAAGAAACGCATCCAGGCTCGCATGCTTTTTCATGCTCCGGGCAAAGGCGTTGACCTGAACCCTAAAATGGCCTGGACGATGCGCCGTAAGCCCCCCTACACACGTTATGCCCTTTGCCGGGCTTGGCCGGTGCACAAGCACAAATACTGGACTCTCTTGAAGTAAACTCCGTTCTCGTCCAAACCGCAGGACTGCAGTTGATCAGAGCTAGAAGAGAAACGTCCGAAAGTGCGAAATTGCGGGGGTGGATGTAATTCGGCGACCGGTTTCAGGTCTGATCTTGCGAAATCTTACTACCAAAAATGTGGATTGTTTGAGTACGCCACCTCTAGGTCTCATGTTTTCATACTTTTCGCATACGGTTGCGCCTCTTGGTGGAGATAATCTCCTGTAACCTAAGCTTTTCTCCACCCTAGAACATGGATTGACAGTCCAACTGTCCGCTGTTGTCGGATTTGTCAGGCCAATAAGGGCCTGAATCACCTGCACACCAATTGCTTTTGCTTCATGGTTTGGATTCACGCATCCTTCTTCGATGCATGATGCCGACCTCCTGCATCGTTTTTCCATCCCACATAAATCGCAGTGCAATTACCGTTACAAGAGCTCTGCACAGTGGGATTGAATACTCTTGCGACATGCAATGGGGTTGGGAAACTTCATCGCCATCTAGAGTGCCGTGAGCAGAAAGTCGTTATTGAACCTTCACATGACTGTAGCCTGTAGGTATCTTCTCATGGGAATGCGGCGAGTCCTATTCACAGACCAGCATCTTTTTCTAGGTAGGGCAACCCCAACGCATATATCCAGCATTCTTGCAGACATGGAATCTGGACCCAAGAGAGTGTTGCTTTTTCGGACACGTTCCCGCCCAAAGATGCTCCTGTCACGGTCCTTAATTCTACGAAGAAGCAGCCATGCACTTGAGGTGGTTTTGATAGCCACTCGCTTCCTTTTCTTCAGCCTGGTGGCGTTCCTACTCATCCTCAACCCTTCGCCAGAGGTTACTACTAGGCGGCCGTGGAGTGTTTGTGGATAGATGCGTTACTGTGAGGCTGACTATGTTACTATGTACTTTGTGATGTATTTCGGCGTCACAATGAAAAGGGCCAATCCTTCCGCCTGTTTTGGGGTTTTGTGGTTCAGACTCGTCATGCTATCGAAAGCGGGTTTTGGGTTTTGTGATTCCGCTGTCTTCATGATTCAGGGAGGCCTGACATCCGCGGAAGAGGCGAGTTCAGACAACTTGCTATTCGTACCTCTTTACCCGTCACGCTGTCTGCAGCTGCATTGCTAGTCAAAGGTTCGTGCTCATCCTTCCCCCACAGAACCGTTGCAACCGAGCACAATCCGCCCACTTCTCGAAGAGTCTTTAAGGAACCCCCTTGCATGGTACCCCCCTGTGTATAAGGTCCGAGTCTGATTTTTCAGTTTGATGTGTCATAGATCAGACGGCTTTGTGATCCCTTTCGGCACGCACCGCAACTTTCCGAATCTGATTTGATTGATGTGTCATAAATCAGACGGCTTTGTGATCTTTTTCGGCGCAATCCACAGCTTTCCGAGTCTGATTCTTCAGTTTGATGTGTCATCGCCCAGCCGGCTTTGCGATCCTTTTCGGCACGCCCCACAGCATACCGAGTCTGATTTTTCAGTTTGGTGTGTCATAAATCAGACGGCTTTGCGATCCTTCGCGGCACGCTCCCCAGCTTTCCGAGTCTGATTTTTCAGTTTGATGTGTTATAAATCAGACGGCTTTCGACACGGCCCGCAGCTTTCCGAGTCTGGCTTTTGAGTTTGATGTTTCATAAATCAGACAGCTTTGTGATCGTTGTGATGCACGGCCGAAACATGTCCTGCCCGTGCACTGAACTGCCCTGCCCTCCTGCCCTGTACTGCCCCTGCCCTGCCCCTGCCCCTGCCCTGCCTGCCCCTCCCCCCTGCCCTGCCTCGCCCCTGCCCTGCCCTGCCTGCCCCTCCCCTGCCCGTGCCTTGCCGGGGCCCGGAAACAGACATCAGCAGCGGGGAACCATCGTCCTCCCCCCTTAGGAGGACGATGGTAACCCTCTCCGGAACCGCCCCCCGAACAAGGCACACAGCCCCTTATCCACAGCGGGGTACCATGGTCCTCCCCCCGTAGGAGGACGATGGTAACCCGCTGCGGAACCGCCCCCCGCTGCACAGGCGTCACGGGACATTATTGGCAGCGGGGTCGCATGGTCCTCCCCCCTTAGGAGGACGATGGTAACCCGCTGCGGAACCGCCCCCCACTTACAGCGCGCAAGCGCGCACAGGCCTGCGGAGGACGATGTCGTGTGCGGCCCAGCCATTATCTGAGCCAGTTCACCAGCCGCCCCAGCCCCAGCCAGCCCATGCCCAGCCACTTGCCGGGCCGACAAGTCTTCCTCTTATTCGCTCTGCACGAATTCGTTGCAGAGCATCCGGTCGGAATTCTGCAAGATTGACTGGCCTGGAATCAAGTCTCAATTCTTGTTGCCTTATTCACGCAAGAAGATGCTTGAGATCTACTGGAAATCATATGCACTTGCCGAAGCCAACCAAGAACGCTTGGCATTGATGCAATCTAACCTTACAAATAGCAACAGATTCAATGTATTCTTGAAGCCCGCCTAATTTCTACAAAATCCCAGAATCCCAGACCCCATGCCGGCACGCGTGATCCACCGGGTTCCCGTTTCGTGTCTGTGGACTGTTGTTTGGTATCGGGCTGCGATCGTAATCCGCTACCGACAGCGTCAGATGTATAGACTTCGAACATCTATGCGTTACTCAAGTAGGTACCGTGTTTACAGTTCAGCAACTTCAATCTGAAATTGAACCCTGATTCCAGTCGGAAAACGAAATGAGAAGGACACGATAACAAGGCACTGGAGCCTTATATGCAGGGGGGTACCATGCAAGGGGGTCCCTCAAGGAGTCTTCGAACTTCACCGGAAAATCAATCGGTTGGCAATACCCTAGGCCCTGGCATTCAAACCTCCGCAAGCCCATATCCTAAACCCGGAACCTCTGACAGCAAAGTGCAAAAATTACAAGCCTGAAGCTCGAATTTGCACCGCGAGTCTCACGAAGGATGAAAGCTTTAGGGCCTGGGAGATCTACTTCAGATGCTTTGGATTTTCGGTGGGTGGTTTGGTGATCTGCACGTGGCCCTCCAGGTTCGCGTATTTCCTCTTGTGTGTCATGGTCGTTGCATGCGCCTACTTCCTGGTGCACGTGCTGGCACAGCTGCTACGCAGCCCGGTAGACCTATTCCCGGAGTTTTGGACCCGCAGCCTGCGAAGATCCATCTCGACCATTACCTCGTTAAACCCGCGCGAAGACTAGGCAGAGCCTGCGTCGCGCCTCCTAAGGCAGTGCTGTGGTAAGCACAGCGGAGACCGGCACGGGGCTGGCCAAGCTTGCAGGCCGGTTATTCGGATAAAGGCTGGTTAGAGGCGCAATGCTGCAGACGCTGTTGAGTGGAAAGTTTCAGCCTGGCCGGTCTGTCCGTCTCCCCCTCCTGGGAGGTGCCGCCCAGCGCCTCGCGATCCAACTGGCGCTTCCTTTGTTCCAGGCATTGGACCGACTTTGGGACCATGTCGTTTTTAGGTGTCCGTGCGCTAGGCGGCAGAGAGCGAGAAGCTTCAGCTGTCGTGGTCCTTCGAGACGGATGAGATCGCGGCTGCCCGACAGCAGGTTTGTCATCAAAGGTTCCGAGTTTAGGGGCTGCCGTGTGTCGCAAAATGAGATAAATCCCGGAGCTTGTGCCCTGGACCCCACCGAAACGGCCTTGACCACTGAAACCACGGCAGTCCAACCCTCAAAAGCCCAAGCCGCCATGACCCGAGGAAACGACAGGGAAAATGCCGGCCGGAGGCCTTGAAGCCGCGTTGCAGGGCTCTTTGGCAGTCTTGCGACGGTGATTTAGTGTGGAGCTTCGAAGCCGTAAATGAAGGTTCAAGATGACCTATCGGTTGCAGAGCTTCAGGAAGTCCATTTGGAGCTTCTTGCAAGGCTTTTTTGCAACCTGGGGCATGACAAGATGCCCTGCTTAGCCCTACGCTCTGCACTTAACGTGAAAACCCAAAGAGGCCCCAAGCTGTAGCATCTTTAACGCTTGGCCTTAAACTCTTAAATGCTGCACTCAAAGACTGCAGGCCGTGCACCTTATCAGCAGCCCCGCAATTCCAGACACTTCAAGGAATCCCTTGCTAAGGAGGGGTTTATGCAGTCTTTGGACATGAAAAGCGGCCCCGCGAGGTGCGAAGGCGTTGATGGCTCTGCATTGGGTGAAGGGCAAGATCCTCCGCGTGGGGCCTTCCTATCAGCATGCTGTCCACCTCAAGGACACTTGGCACTTGGCCCAGCCTTGGGGGTCGTCACTAGTGCTTCAGGATGGGGCGTGCACGCCAAGCGTAGGAGCTGGGACTTTCGTCTTTAGGCTCTTTCCAGATTGAGTGCATTTTCCGGGTGCGCCCCTCTCGCGGCCTTCAAGCTTCGAGGCGCACGAGGAGTTCGCAAACTTGTGGCTGCGGCAGCTCAAACAACCTGGGCTCCCGTGCCAAGGCCCGGAGGTCAGGGTTTTTCGAATAGGGAGGACTTCATAGACAAGAGAGTGTCGTCGAGATGCTTGCAAACGTGAACTTGATCGAGATTTATGGACTACTGGTGTTCGACCAAGATGTCGCAGGTATTCTCCTCCCCTCGGTAGGCCTCCATTGAGAAGCCCTGAGCTCCTAGATCCTGTGTCCCTGGCTCCTATGACCCCTCTCTTGGAAAGGTCTGGAGGTCTTATGCGTCCTCGCGACGGCCAGCAAGGAGCTTCCGAGCCTCATTGCCAGAAGCCGTATCTGCGAAAAGTGGATGCAGCAGGCACGGGCGTAGCCAACGCCCAACGCTTTCGCAAGTCTTTGTCACTTAGTCGCGCAGTCCCAGGCTCCGAGGTATTGTGTAAACACCAAGCCAACCCGCTGACTGCTAACCGTTAGACGAGTTGTGACAACAAACCTGGCAGAGAGCACATGCGTCCGAACGAGGTGGACGCATTGACCCAGAGCTTTGGGCCTTTCACCTGTGACCCAGAGGACCTCGGACCCAGCAGGCGTTTCGTTCGTTCGTGACATCGGGTTCCTGGTATTTGGCAGTATCGCTGGCATTCCGAGCACCAGGGCCATGGGTGTTGAGTCAAGGCTCTTAAGAAGATTTGGATCATGCTGGGCCGTGACCCTGAACCCAAAAAGGGTTGGCATCTCTAAATGTTTACAACCCGTCACCGGCTGTCTGTGAGCAAATCTGGTGACAACGAACTTTCGAATGAAAATTTTGCAGGCCCCAAAAACATGGGTATGTGTGGAATCCTTCCTTCGGTGCTCAGAGGACTTAGCACGCTCCACCAAGCGCTTGGGCCAGATGCCTTCTCGCGATCCTTGGCCCAAGCGCCGGCCCAATCCTGGGCCCCGAGCCGGGGCGCTTCCTGGAAGTAGGGATTTGGGGGTTTAGGGGTTCAGGGGTTCAGGGGTTTGGGTGTTTAGGGTTTAGGGGGGTTCCTAGAATTTTTTGCAAGCTTGGGGAGTGTCGCTTTGGACGCACGATCAAAGATCCTCTCTTGCACCCAGCCCAAGCCTCGAGGAAGCCCCGAGCCTGAAGCAGCACCCAAACCCCAAAAGACAACACGTCGACTTAGACTGAGCCCAGAAGCCTTAAGCATCTCCGCGCTACTCTGAGGATGCAGTAAAGCTGGTCCGCCACGTCGCCGACTTGAGCCTGGGCGGCCTTTGGAAGCGTTCACCCAAACGTGCTTTTGGCCCCAAATTCCTGAAAACCGCATTGAGCCCGGTGTCTTCGGAGGTGCTCACGGCCTCGGCAGCCGAAGTCGGAAGCGGAAGATGTGCTTGAATTCTAGCTTCGAGGTGCCGAAGTTTGAAACCGCGGCTGTGCCAGGGCTTCTACTGGGCTGGGGGCCTTAAAGGGTCGGCGAAGAACCCAGGACTCAAGCCGCCGCGAACTCTGAACGCTAAAGTGCTCAACCCCTCCTCAACCACGGGTGTAAGTCATGCTTAAGAGGACCCCTCGCATTCTTGCAAGCCAAGTTCCAGGGCTCTTCTCAACACGATAATCCCTCAAGCTTCAGAATACAGCCCCGGAGATGCCTCCAGTTTTCTAGCTTCCCGAACGTGGGGTCTTTGTGTTGAAGCCTGGCAACAGCCCCCATGACTGCATGGAGGCTCCCGCAAGCTCGTCGGGATGCGGACAGCAGCCAACAACTGAAGCATGTACTGAAGCATGTTTTCGAACACCACTCCGAGAGTCGCAGAAAAGAGGCAACGAGGCTCAACCCCTTAGCATTAGAGTGCTTTAGACCTAGGACTGAAGCAAGACAAACGCACGCCCGCCCGCCCGCCCGCCCGCCCGCCCGCACGCACGCACGCACGCACGCACGCACGCACGCTCGCACGCGCGCGCGCGCGCGGTCCCTAACCACAGCCGAGACCGGCAGGCACAACACATGGTTAAAGCCTTTCAGCCCAAACTTTCCAAACAAAGAGCTCCCTTCTATAGGTTTCCCGTGATGTCTTCTCTGTTGTAGAGCTGGAAATTCAGGGGAGCACTCCACATCTGTGCGACCTGCAAATCCTTTGGTGGTTGCAGATTGCTTGAAGAAATAAGAGGGCTCAGCGTTCAGACTCGTGGCCTCGACATTCGTTTTTGACACAAGCTGATGGCCGAGAATTGAGTGCCGAGACATGCGAAGACTCGTTCTGGAAAAGGCACAGGTTCGCTGTGGCTGTTTTGTTTTGCGTTCATGAAGCCATAATAAAGGGTTGAGAGTAGGAGCCAGCTTTGGTGAACCAGTCTTCCTTGCATGCTTCGGGCGGTTTCACGGGACCACTCTGCTTGCAAGTTGTTTTGCCTGCCGAACGCTCCCATGCCAAATGCGGGCGATTGCGAGGGCTCAAAATTTAGGTCTGCTGATGCAGGGTCGATGACGGCAAACGCGCCAGAATGTGTCAGAGCTGAGGCAGGCAAGTTTCATCACGTTTTCACGTGCGTGCAGCACACATGGCACAAACCTTGGCTTTTAAGTATTTAGGTTTTCAGGATGGCCACCTGCGACTGCGGAAGATGTGTTTCAATGTTGTTTGGCTGACCTCGACGAAGCTTGAGGCAAGCCGGGGAGCAAAAATGCCATGGCCTTTAGCCATCCTCTTACATCTGGTGCTTTCGCAGTGACCTCGAAAACTGACCATGTGCTCCAGTTGCCCCGGCTGTCGTAAGAGGCTTGTCCGAAGGCCAGCCAATCTCCTTCTGCAAGAAGTCTGCAGGCTTTGCATCCATCACTCGAGACGTTCAGTGGATTGCACATTTGGAGGGGTGTCTGGATCTCGTCGTAAGCTGTTGCCAGATCGGTACATGTCCGCTGTGGACGACAGAAGCCCCGGACCAAGTGTCCGGCTCTTCTGCCAGGAATCCGATGTAGTCTTTTGACTCTTACCTTGCATCTGCTCCGTGTCGAAAGAACCTGGTGTGTAGTTTGGGGTTTGGACCTCGGATCTATAGGTGCGACGGACAGTCTGCGAGCTTGCCGTTTTTTGTTACGTCGGTCTTGTATGCTGAGGCGTTGCTTCTGTTTCAGGAGCCTAGACCAACAGAGCCGCTTGCGGGTGCCTTTGGTGCCTTAGCATGCAGGCGCTTGCAAAGTTTAGCTGCCCAGCTGCCCACTTCCCCAAAGGGTTGAGAGGACGCTCCTAAGTTCGGCGTTAGGCTGTTACATTGTATTCGATGGAGCAGAGCGGCAAAACAATAACTCCGCTGGGTGCACCCACCCGCAAGGGGTCTGGGACAGCGACAAAATTGGCAGCTTAGAGAAGGGCGACTTAGCAGGACTCGGCGCCGACATGCCTTGCCAGAATGGCGCCCCTGCATGTCTTTGCTAGAGCATTAAGACTTTAAGATTCCCTTCTGTTTTGCTTAGGCACGACTTCCGAGGCGGAAGATGCAGGTCCGGATGGTCTCTTCCACAAAACCCGAGTCTGAAGAGTCTTTGGAGTTCGGCTCAGGTCTCAGGGAGAGGAGCTCCACGGAAATACGGGTTGGGTCAAAGTAATGTAATTAGGTTCTACACGTTCTTGCATGCCGTGGGAGTTTGTGTGCCAGTCATAGAGTCATTTAGTGATAGTCGACGCGCCGGTTTGCTGCTCAAAGCATGCAAAGCGACTCCATCCCATTTTCTTTGTTGAGACCCGGATCCCGGCGATTCAAGGCCCTTAGAGAAAAGAAGGGAGACGTGAATCGAGAGTCAGAGTCTCACAGTCTCACAGCGTTCGATGCGACCCAGCTTGAATCGTCTTGATCTGGCGCAGAGCCTTGCGAGGGGAAGGCGCCAGCTGCTGCGCCCCAAAAGCCTCTAAGCCCGGGGCCCGGATCCTCGCCTGCTTGTCGAGTTGTGAGTGCTGAAAAGCCTCCTGTCTTTCGGTCCTCTCGCCCGCCAGTGCCGGGGAACGGCATAGCCGTGCCCTGTGCTGCCGGGGGGTTTTATTCCACGTGCCTCAAGGGACACGGTTTTTTCCCCCCGGAAGCTACAGTCTAAGTGCCTTGGCAGACGGCAGCATAAAAAGCCTCTAAGCACTGTCCGAAAGCCCTGCTCCGAATCAGGCCATGCAAAAGCGATGACACCTGCCTACAGTTTACATAAGTTGTCTTTTGAGCGGAGGTCTGCCTTGGAGTATTGAAACGGAACATGAAGGAAATGCGCTGATTATGATGGTGATGTTGATGATTATGCACAGGTTGATAATGTGAAGATGCTGTTCTTACCAGGGTTTTGTGCGTCGGAGCACGATGATGCAGATGATATTGATGACGATAATGGCCGCCTGTTAATGACGTTCTCTGGAATGGTGGCGAAGTCGACGTCACTACCCCACACCCCACCATACCGCACCCCACCCCAGCCCACCCCACAAGCCAGGGGAGCCTTAAACCCGCAAGAACCTGCCAAAACCCCATGGTCATGAAGGTGCGCGTTGGCCTACACCACCCTGAACCATCAATGCTGCATTGTAGGTTTCTGAGATGCCAGGTGTCTGCTTAATGCCGTTTTGGCAGGCTTGCTGTTGACTGCAATGGCTTGATGAACCCTGTGCTGACGAGTTTCCTCCGGTAGCCTATCTGCTCAAGCAACTAACTCCGTATCTCTGCATCCCAGGCTCTAGGTAGCTTGGGGTGCTTTTAATGAAGCAAAAGATGCGCGTCAAGATGTTGATGCTGGCCGTTTGTTGGACAACTTCGTTGGCCTTCAAACTATCCGGGTCCGATGCACCGATCAAGTTTTCCGACTCTCATAACGAAACCTCGAACAAGATCATCGAGGAAGTGGTTTCCGAGAACTTGCAGGCGGACATGAAGGACATCAACGGGATTCCGAATCCCATGGGTGAGAACGAGAGTAACGAGACCACCGAAGGTTTTGGCGACCTGGCGAGGAACTTGGAGTTCCTGGGCTTTGAAGTATGTTTTCTTGGTTTAGGTTTTAGAGTACCCTAAACCCTAAACCGTAAAGTTCATGCGTTTTTTCCCCTGGTTACTTCAAAGCCCAGGTTCCTGATCCTGAAAGTCGCGCAGCTCGAGACGGTGGCCGATACTTCCCTTAGCCAATGGGAGAGCTTTTAGCCTCTTGCTGGTAGAGCTTGGGGTTTAGGGTAGCCTCCCTAGGGCTCCAGTTACCTATAGAGTTACTGGGGTACGTAATATATGTATATATATATATATATATGGATAGCAACCTACGATTTAAGTAACTGGAGCCCTAGGGCTTGCTGCTGTTACGTGTTTGGTCTCTCATACAAAGTCAGAGTTTTTCTGGGCCCGGGTGTTGAAGGAGAGAGTCTAACCCTAAACCCTAAACCTTAAACCAGTTCGAGTTGTGAGAGCGTAAACCTTAAACCAGTTAAGTTACGAAGGAATCTATTTTTCACTACCGTAGATCCCTAAACCCTAAACCCTAAACCCTACACTATGGCAGCTTAAACCCTGAACCCTAAACAGGAGATGCAGGAAGCACGGATCCAGACGCAGCAGCTGCAGATTGATGAGCATCGCAAGGTGATCGAAACGCAGCAAAAGGACCTGGGGTTTAGGGTTCTGGACACATGAAGCCCCTATAACCCTAAACTTGAAACCTAATTTTAAACCCTAGGCCCTAAACCTTCAACTCTGGACTTTGAAACCCTTAACCCTAGAGTCTAAGCTGAATCCTAAGCTTATAGGATCCTTTTGGGAGGGTGGTTCAAGGGGGGAGGGTAGAAGGAATCCTTAGGGGACTGTAAGGGAACTAGGGAGTACTAGGGAGAATTAGGGATCACTAGGCTATATACCCCCCTTGGACCCCCCTCCCTTAAGGATACTATAATAAGCTGAACCCAAAGCCTCCCCCCCCGAAAGGACATCGAAGCTTTGAAGGGTGAGGCGGCGCCAAGCCCCAAGGAAGCTGGGCTCTTGTTGAGAATTCTGAATTCTTTTGAAATTTCCTTTAAGGATACCACACTTTAGGGTTCCGTAAGGGTTCCTATGAAGGAATTAGGGCTCCCTTAAGGGTTCTATAAGGGTTCTATAAAAGATTCGGCGTAAGGGAACTTAATGGAAGCTACCATGATAGGGATCTACAGCAAAGAATATGTGGTTTCCTCGTTATGGTAAGTTGTTTTATCGCAGGCCGGAGCGCTCTTCTTGGAGGTTGAGCAGAAAGATGCCCAAGCACGATTCTGAGCTATACAATAAAACCCCTAACTGAAAGGTCTTAGACCCTAAACCTTGGGTTGGGGTTCAAGGTTCAGGGGTTTCGGGGCTTGGAATCAGAGCTTCGGGGAGGGAAACATCTCTTTAAACACCTTCTTTGATTTTATTGCATACAGAAGCCAGTAAGAAGAAAGAGCTTAGGCCTTTTTGTGCTACTTTATAGCCATTTATAGCCCAGGATTGAGTGAGGCCCAAGGTGTCCTGACGAGTGTGATCCAAAAGCACACCCGCCAGCGCCAGACACGCGACTTGCCTTCGACTCCCCTACTTGGATAGCAAGTAAGGTTTTAAGTAGGGTTATAGGGGTCCCTTTAAGGGATCTATAGGGGTACCATAATGTTTAGGGTTTAGGGTCTACTTTGAGGATTTTGGACTTAGCAAGTAAGGTTTTAAGTACCTTAATTGGGGTTTTCAGTAGTCATTGCTGTAGTTACCTATATTTTTTGTAACCCTAATTACCAAGTCCCATTATCCTCTCGCTAAACCCGGAAAAGCTACAGCCGCGAAACCCTAAACCCTAAAAGCCATAAAGCCCTAAACCCTAAATGGTTAAAGCTGTCAAACACCAAAAGCTTAAAGTTAAACCCCACAAGCCTAAAGTTAAACCCTCAACGCCTAAAGTTAATCCTTAAATCCCAGATAAACTACCTTAAACCCTAAACCGTAAATTTTCTAGCCCCGAAGGATCTCAAACCGTAGGGACCATAGAGTCCTAAACTGAAGCTGAAGCCTTTGGAAAGATTAACGAGAACCGGTTTAGGGTATAGGGCATACGGCTGAGGGTATAGATAGGGGTTATGCGTTTGGGGTATCGGTAACACCCTCGAAGCCCAGGCAAGTTCCATGAAGAACCCGCGGCGGAGGTGGAAGAGCCAGAGGTCCAGCTGGCAGGTGCGGTGTTCTCTAAGTTAGCGTCCCTTTTAACGGTTCCCCTTCAAGGGGTTCCTTTAAGGCCCTAAACCCTAAACCCCTTAACGGTTCCCTTGAAAGGGTTCCTTTAAGGGGATAGTTCTCTAGACTAGCCTCTCAGGGTCCTTGTTATAAAGGCTTAGGGTTTAGGGTCCTTGTTATAAGGATGCCGTACTATTTTGGGGATCTATACAGGGACCCTAACGACCCTAAAACTTAACCGTATAGTGCCCTTGTAGATCCCTCAAAGGAACCCTATAAACCCTAAGTTCCCGACAACGGGACTTCCCTAATTTAGAGAACCACCCATATTATATACATACCCTAAACCCTAAACTGCCCTTGCCTTATAGACCCGTTTCCTTCAACCCTAAGGTTCTGAAAAGGGGACCCTAATTGATCTAAGGTCAAAGCCATTGGCCGCCTTATATGGGCCCTTATGCTTTTCAAGGAGCCTTTAACCTTACGCTACCCTGAAAGATCCCTTTTAAGAACGCCTTAAAGGGACCCTCAAAGGCACCCTAATTTGGAGAATTATCAAAAACTTTAACTTCATAGCACCCTGATACACCCTTATGGATCCCTTATAGGAACCGCTGCCCCAGGTGAAGGGGCTACATCGCAGCAGTCTTCTTCCGCCAACGAGTCGGCAACCGGTCTCTGATGTGAGCTGCAGTCTAAATTCCTTAAAGGGTGTTATATAGGGGATTACTACAGGGGATATGGAGGAGGATAGTAGAAGTTTAGACTATAGCTCATGTGGGTTTTGTTCGGGGAAGAGGAAGAATGTTTAGGGTTTAGGGCTTCAGAGTTCAGGTTCATGTAGGGTCTGAGGAACCCTACGGGCTTAGGGTTTAGGGGCTGTGAGATCTCAAGTGTCCCAAGTTCGGGTATGTCTTTCCCTGTGTGTTCGTTGATCCGTCTGCTTTGGCGTCCTGCTTGGTGCTGTGACCCTAAACCCTAAACCTGTCTGAATGCCGTTGCGGTGCCGGTCTTCTTCTTTACGTCCCGTCGGCTCGCAGAAGGGTCCACAAAGCACGTTTTCGGGTGACCTAGTTGCGGGGCTTTACTTGGGTCTGTTTGAAGGCAAGTAACTTCAAGCCGAAACCGTAGTTAATGGGACCCACAACCCTAAACCCTATGGGATGCTGAGGTAAGCTGGCCGTGGGAGCACCGAAGACGAAGGTGGAACCCGGTTGACGTCGCGAAAAGTGTGGCCGACACGATGTCGGACGGCTACAATGCTGCTAAGGACAAGGCGCGGATGACGACCTAGGCATTTGCAATTTCACAAGGCAGAGAAGTAAGTGGGGTTTCATAACATAGGGGACCCTAAGAGGGTACTCTAAATAGCAGGATCCTGATTATAAAGACTCCTAAATAAGGTACCTTTCATCTTTGGAAACTCACAAAGTTACGGCTCAGGCAGCCGACCCTTTGCGCTGGTAGACCCCGAACCCGAAGCCCGCATGATAACATATAGGGGTACTTGGAAGCAAGTTTTGATAGGGTTTAGGGTTTAGGGATGTCGCTACCATATGGCCTGAGAAACAGCTAAATTGAAAAGTGTTGCTGTGGTACCAAGTTCAGTATAGATATGTCTCGCGAGCTCCATTCATCCTGCTTTCCACGTCTGCTCACCCAGGCGAAGTGGGTGGCGGAAAACACGATCAACACCGTTGAAAAAGCCGTCAAGGTTCTGAGCAATGGCTTCTCAGATTTTGGCGCCAGCTGCACCAAAGGAGTCGGTGCTGGCCTACTAAACTTTGACATGCACAATGGAATCAGGATTCCTGGTTGTCCTTTGTGTGGAAATTGACCGGGCTTAAACCAGCTAGGCCTTTAATCGGAATCCGGTAGTCCCCGAGCTCAGGATCAGGTTCGGGTCCTACAACTGCCAGATCAGCTTGCTCGGACAGTCGACCGGCTTGTTCGGCTTTGATTTGGGCACGACGCCTCCGGTTCCCTTTCCGTACCAACTGCAAGCCATAGCCCACGTTGGATGGGACCTGGCGCACCACTGCAAGGTTCCCCACAACCACATTTCAACCCTGAAGTGCCTCGCCCAGTCCCTTGCCGATCACACTCCCCCGCTCGACCTCCTTCCCGAGCAAGTGAAAACACTCACGGATGGCAAGATTCTCGACCTCCTTCCCGAGCAAGTGAAAACACTCACCGATGGCAAGATTCTCGACCTCCTTCCCGAGCAAGTGAAAACACTCACGGATGGCAAGATTCTCGACCTCCTTCCCGAGCAAGTGAAAACACTCACGGATGGCAAGATTCTCGACCTCCTTCCTTGGCAAGTGAAAACACTCACGGATGGCAAGATTCTCGACCTCCTTCCTTGGCAAGTCAAAACACTCACTGATGGCAAGGTTCTCGACCTCCTTCCTTCGCAAGTGAAAACACTCACGGATGGCAAGATTACTGAGCTCCTCCCCTCGTGGTTTCAATTACTTGGCCACCTTGGATGGGAGATTCACATTAGTTGCGTCGCAAAGCACGACCACATTGGTGTGACCAAGTGTCTTGCCAAGTCGGTTGCCAAATATGCGGGGGATGACTTCTTGCCTGGACCAATGAAGGCCCTTGCAGGTGGCGATCTCCCTCTGTCCTTCTTGCCGGCACCAGTGCAGGTCCTTGCAGGCGAGCTCAAATAAGCTTTGTCGTAGTAGCGCCCTTAAAGAAACATTAAAGCGCTGAGGCTGCAGGCCTCAGCTCCTAAACCCAAAACACAAAAGCCCTTTCAGGTGGCAAGCTCAACACGATCATCGACTGTGCCCAGCCCAACTCTCACGGCGACCTGATCAAGTGTCTTGGCTCCAAGATCATTGCGAGCGTGCCTCCACTGAACTTCCTGAACCGCCTCGGCGACATTTTCAAGGAATCTTGGCGGCTGAGCTCGGGTGTAGAGGGGCTCGGGATTTCAGGGCTTTGGGCTTTGGGCCGATTGGGGCCGGCCGACCCGAAACCCTATCCCACCGAGGAGTTCATCGAGGTCTTTGCCAAGGCCCCACAAGGGATCTCGGTCCACGTAGCAGCGAAATAGCATTTAGGGTTCGGTCTGGGGTCTCTTCTAGGGTCTGTGCTGGCGTCTCGGGGGTCTAGGGCTCCTCCGACCGATGAAGGGACAGCGCTGCAGCTCTCGGCCCCTGAACGCGGTCACAAAGCCATCTAAGCCACATAGGTAATTAGGCAATTATCAACACGACGGACGGTCCTTTTTTTCGGGTACCTTAAATACTAGGTGCCGTTTATGAAGGACCCGAAAAACAACTACCCATCGACAGGTGGCCAGCACGGTGGCCACATCGGCGATGAAGGCCCAAATCCTATGCCGTTTGCAAAGCTGTTCTCGGTCTCCTCGTGTCTTGAGGGTCCCAAAACTTTGAGGGGTTCAGGCTGGGAAGTTCGGGTTGAGTCCAGCGGAGGATGAATCATTCCCTATGCCTGAAATCGGATCGGGCAGGGTGGGGGAGTGGGGGGGGGGTGTTCATCCCATCGCCGGCGTGTGCGTGCGTGCGTGCGTGCGCGCGTGCGTGCATGCATGCGGGTGCATGCATGCCCCCTGCTTTGCAACATCCCGGGCAGGGAAGGGCCCCAAATCCAGAAAGCCTTCAAACCAACCCTGGGACCCTAGAACCCTTGAAGGACCCCTGTAAACATCTTGAAACCTTAAATTAGTTAGGGCTGGGCTCCCGTATCTTCGCAGCACCCGCCCTCATACCTCAAGCGTTTTATCCCTGTGTCCCACCCTACATGTCCCAATAATCCTTGTAAAAATCCTCAATTCCTGACCTTCCCACCTCAACCATTTCTTCTATCTAATCTATCTAAAAGTTGTTGTTAATGACCTAAGCCTAAGAAACCTAAAGAGAGTAATAGAATGAATCTTAACAAAGTTTTTTATAAAGATAAATTCTAACGACCTCCTAATTATTAGGTATGCATATATCTCCAATAGTTCAAGACCCTTTCAGTTCTGATGACATCTATTTGTTCCAACCTTTCTTTACTACAAACATATCTACCTGCCTGTTTATGAATTCGTAATTCGCGTTGGTATTTTGTTATCATCTTATTACGGCGATATTTATACATATCAACATCTTTTACATCACTTTCATTATAAAATTTTGGCAGCACGTGTTTAATTGGAATATCGTTTTTTGTTTCTATCTTAAGTATTTGTTGTGTTTGGTCTCCTGCTTCTAGGTTTAATCTGTCATATACTGTTTTTAAGTATTATTTTGCGTCGTTGATGTTGCTTAAGAATTCGCTGATAATTTCCTCCTATTCCTCAAGACTGAACATCATATTATCTAACATAAATATTACATAGTATTTCTGTAAATAGTTTTCTAAAGACTTATGATAAACATCATAATTTTTAAATGAAATTGGTTTAACCCTTCTTTACTTCGTATACATCTGCGTCCTTCACGTTTTCGTAGTATTCCAAAGTGCTTGGTCGCGGTTCTTTGATTTCTCCGGTGTTGAGTTTGCTTAAACATTTTTTCGTTTGTTTAAATTGCCGTGTCTTTGGTCTCGGGCAGTTTGTTTGAAAACGAATTCTTATTATAATTGTTATTTCGGTTGTTTACTAATTTAGTGTCTAAATTTTCGATGGTGTTAGTCAAGTCTCTCAGTGCAGTCTCCAAACCTTCGGACATATACAAGAATCTGTATATGTTTTAAAACTTTTGTTTCAATAACACTTTTCCTTACTACTCGCGGCACGGTTGAATTGCAGCATGCTACACAGTTTTCGATGGTATGGCAGATGTCGTTATTTTCCCGTTGTGCCGTCAAGTTCGTATGTATGTTTCCTTAATTTCCGTTTATCATTTTCAAATTAAACTCTACCCCGCATTTTACACAACAACCGTTCAACCTCTCCATAGGCCAGTCAGCCGTTATAAAATGCTAGTGTTTTACCTGTCTTTTCCCCGCGTGGTCTTGTTCCTTGTATCCCTTACCCTTTTCGACACATATAGTTATACACGCAGTTTTGGTTAAAGACATCTTCCTTCACATCGGAGCTGTACTCATGGAAATACACCTTATTTATATCAGTGCTCCTCGTGATCGCCGTATATAACCATTCCTTACTAACCAGCCAGAAGTCATAATCAAGCATCGTTATTGTGTCGTCTATGCTACTACCCTGAACACTATGACAAGTATAACAATATGCGAATATAAAGTGCTTTCTCAATATGTCTATTGGGACTTCTTGCGATTTCCTTTCAACCTCGTTGCGAGAGCCTCGCAAGGCTTCTGCCGACGCGCCGCATAAAACCACCGTTTCCGCATTTATGTTTTGGATAACATACTTAAAAATCGCATTAAGCTTATACCTCGTTGGTTTTAGATACTCTCTGCATATCATCACTTCGCCTACTTCATACTCCGCTGTTATGTTTTCAGTCTTCCTTATTTCCTTCGATACTTCCCTGCAGGTGTCGCTCAGATAAGCTATGTTGTTTTTGTTCAGACATATCGCCTTCGTATATTTGAAGTATCGTTCGATCAGCTCCTTAGGTTTCACATTGTTTATAAATATATCGTCGTATATGTTGGATAATTGTTCTTGTCTTCCTTGGTCTTTAGTCTCTTGCATTCCTTAAGGTATATACCATATTTGAAAATCTGGTGTATACACGAGTTCATATAAATCTCGTGTTCCAGCATGTTGGTCAGTTCGTTTACCGGCTTCAGTTGCTTACCGTCCCCAGTTCCTATGATTATCAGCTCGGGGTTCTTTTCCACGGATTCCCTTATTCTGTTCAACACGCCTAAACCGTTAAAATACACTTCGTCGAAAACAATAGCATCGCATCCGCCATAATCCATCGGCTCTAACCTTTCCTCGCCGGATATACCGAAAAACCTCATTCACCGTGATCGCCTCCCTTCCGTATTTTTTAACCAACTTGTTAGTGGGACAAACAAACAAAACCCTCATTCCCATCTCACCCATTCTTTCGCAGATATGCGACTTGCCCGATGCCGCATATTTTGCTCTGATCATTACTGGCTTGGCTTGTGTTTCTTTACCTATGATGTCCTGCATATCGTATTCGTCCTCTATCTTCAATTCTACATTTTCCGGTGTTGTTATTCCTACAGCCTCGTTCGCTTGTTGTTGATATATCACCGACGGTAGTATCACTCCCTCCTCCCTGCTTATCCTCCATTTGCCTATTCCCCCCTGTTCTGTTTTCAATATCCGTCTCGCTTCTTCTTCGTCTTCTTGGCTTATTGTGAATGCGTCCGTTTTGACACTATATACCTTCATTTCTTGTCCGATCAGTTTGTGATAGTCTTGATACTTTGAAATTATGACCTTGTAATAAAAGCTCCTGTATATAAACAAATCCGTTTTTTAACTTCGCTTTACCCGAGATGTTCGTTATGTGATAGGACAAGGCTTTGTTCGAGGGCTAAGGTCTGTAACAAGGACTTTTAGATAGACTATATAGGGGAGATGGTTGAGGCGGGAAGGTCAGGAATTGAGGATTTTTACAAGGATTTTTGGGAAAGGGATACAGGGATAAAACGCTTGAGGTATGAGGGCGGGTGCTGGGAAGATACGGGAGCCCAGCCCTAACTAAATTCCCAAAGCCCCGCACACTGAAGCCTGTGATGTTGAAGGAAGGCCAGTCGCTGCTGCAGATTGCAGCTGCCTCGGAGTTTCCTGCCGCAGGCGCCCCACCGCAGGTCCACCACAGAGGCAGGGCCTCTGTCAAGCCGTCATATTGGGTGATTTCAGATTTTAGATGGTTATAGGCTTACTGGGTCATGGTGTCTGGCTCTCGGGTCTTCGGAGGGCCTGGGGTTGTGGTTGCGAATGCAAAAAAATGCACAAAAGATGTCGACGTTGAAATCAGAAGAGCATTGCGACACACTGTGTCGGGTGCCTGCCTGCGTCTCCCATAACATGCCTTGGTGTGAGAGCTAAGCGAAGATTTGTTGGGGGCGCGTTCAACAACTTGAGCACACAAACAGCCAGCCTAGCCATCCATCAGAAGTAAAACCCACGACATGGCTTCTTCCAGATGAGAGGGATCGAATTTGGCGAAAACGATACCCCACAAACACTGGAACACAAGACGCTCCGTCCCCAAGACATGACAGGCATGAACAAACAAGAAACAAGAACTTTGACGACAGCTCTGTCGGACAGGAGCCAACAATGTGGACCTGATTCAGAAGCTAGCCCCTTCCCGTTCACAAAGAAGCCTAAACATGAAAGCCCCGCAACGAGCTGCAAGTTCACGGCATGAGCTGTTAGGTGCCGGAGCCCGAAATGCTATGCACACCAAGTTCTTCATCAACTTAAGAACAAGAGTTATGGGCCATCTAGGGCTTTCTAGCCCTAAAGCCTTGAACCCTAAAGCACTAAACCTGAAGCCCGTCAACCCCAAGATGAGATCGAATTTCCAGGCGCACATCTCCTCATCACCGCACATTCGCAGCATGCGCCGGCAGGGCCAAGCAGCTTCTTACAGAAGGTCGCTTTGCGGACAAATTTGATCTTATACTATAGTAGAGTAGAGCAAAACGATGAGGTATAGTCCACTAAAATACGACAAAAAGTTGCTGTGCGATGTCCCAAACCCTGAACCTTGGACCTTGAACCCTCGAGCGAAACCCTTAAGCCCAAATTTGACTGTCTAGTTTACACCCTATAAACCTTTTTCGGGTCCTAGAAGTAAAAGGCCTTTTTTGGCCAAAAAACGGCAAGGGCGACAAAAAGCCGCCTGCAGCCGTGACATGGAGCTTCGAAGACTATGGGCCGGAAACCCACACGCTCGTCACCCAGCGCCTCGGATCATAGGGGCGCCGCAGGGTTTACCGGATCAGATGTCGGGCCCCAAAAGTGCTGTAAACCTTCAAATCCGCATAAATTCTACAACCCTAGAATACACCTTATACACCTGAAACGCTTTCAAACCCATAAAAACGAACCTTTGAACCGCCAAAAACTCCCCATCAAGCCCCAGAAAGCCGAAAAGCAGGTTCCAGGGCAGGGAGACCTCCACGGGCTCTTGCCTTGCCTTTGCCCCCAAGACCATGACGCTGGGCTCTTGTTGAGGAGTGGAACTTTGAGTTGCCATAATGCCGAAACCGTCTTATTTGGCACTTGTTTACGTTATACTATATTGTATAGTTAGTTATGTACTTATAGATCCTTATCATGGCAATTTAAACGAAGTTCCTTGTCAAGAGCCCAGGACAGGAAGCAACAACCAAGCCACTGAGGCGGATTGGAAGGCGAGGGTTTGGGGGACCCGTTTTTGGCTTTTGAAGGGTTTGAGGTTTCTGGTTTTGGGGGTGTTTATGTTGTTTTTGGTGCCCATTGGGTTTAGAGTGGTTTTGGTTTTGGGCTTTCACAGGTATATATGGCGTATGGGTTTTTAGGGTTTAGGGGTTGGCAGGCGAAGAGCGAGGATGACTTTGTGGAGCTGAAGCCCTGGGCGGTTCCATGTGGGAACAAGTGGATGAAGACGAAGTGGGACAAGTGGCAAGGCGGAGTCTTTTCCAGTGTAGAGCCGTAATATGAAAAAACACATACATATACATATATTCATATCTTATATATATATAAATGTATGTATGTATTTGTATGTTTGTGCGCATGTATATATATATATATATATATACATATACATATATATACGTGAAATCCTCAGCCCTGGACACTACAGACCCTTCCCCTGCAGGCTCTTTCCATGTACACGTCGGACTTGAGCATCGAGAAGTGCCTGACCGTAACGTTTCAGGTGAACATGCAGCCTGTGGTCGCCTTCGTGGGTGGCATCCAGTTCGACTTGCTGCCTGGGCCCCTGGCAGAAGTTGACACCACGGTCCGGATCTTACAGGGGGAGTGACCGTCAGTTTCGTGAGCTTCTCTCAGCCTGCACTGCCTCTCAGTTACGGCGGGATGTTGTTCGCGGACTGGCGCATTCCTAGAGACACACACGTGCACTTGAGACACGGACAGCAACAAGAGTTACAACCGCAACTACTGTAGTAGCAGTCACAGCGGGCATGGTTGGTGCCGTGCTGGGTCGTCGCATCACCTGTAAACTGCAAACCCGAGCCTGTGTCTAGCTGCTAAGTTCCTGGCATGGTGACGATACTGACGATGACACGGGCGCAGGTGGTAGTGACAGTGAGGATGATGATGACCATCTCATGAAGAGGAAGAGCCGGAGAAGAAGGAGAAGAAGTATGATGGTGACGGTATTGGCAATGATGGTGCTCATGCTGCTGATGGTGATGATGCTTCAGATGCGGAGTCTGATGGCGATGACCGTCACAACAAGGTCTGCTGGCCGCGGGGTCAGCCTGAGGGGCTTGACCTGAGCGTCTTGCGCACCGTCATCAAGTCCAACGGTGTCATGCTTTTCAGCCGCACGCTGCGTCTCTCCAAGCGCTTCGGCGACAGCACGGACTTTGTGGAAGGCCGAGGGTCTGAGTTAGTGGGGTCGAGAATCTTTCGGATGAGGAAGCGGAGTCTTTCAGGTGGCGAGGCTTTGGAGTCGTGGGCTGGGGGTTTTTGGAGGCTTTCGCTTTAATTACGTGTTGAAATAAAGTCATTTACATTCGCTTATCACAGCATTCAATCCGCCCAGGCAGGAACTGCTGAGGCAGTCGTTTTGTCAAAGCTCCCCCGCCCTCTTTGGGGCGAGCTCCCTGAGAAGGCAACATCAACAAGGGCCACCAGACCTCGCGAAGCTTCTTCGGCGTCAACGTCCCACCGGAAGAGAGCGGAACGGGCATCGCCTCCATGCAGCGTTCGAGCCTCCTCCAAGCTAACCAGAGCGTGAAAGCCAGGGAGGAGCTGGAGGAAGCTGTCTGGCAGACGCAACTCGGAGTTTCATGACTTCCTCAACCTAGAGCTAGTTTGGTGCCTTTTGGGTTTAGCATTTCGGGGTTACAATTGCGAGATGGAGACCTCGATCTTCGCGCCCAAGCTCCAGCAAGAGCTTCTAAGACGTTTCAAGCATAATACTAACAATAGTAGAAGGCGCCACAATAATGATTATCATCGTCATGGTGACAACAATGAGAGCAACAATCACAAACCAAGCCCAAGCCCGCCCTGTGAGTTCATTAAGCCCAGAGCTCGCAGTTTCCAGGCAGGATGACCTCTACTTCGCATCCATCGAGTACGGGAAGGATACCCCTGGTGACATAAACCCCGCATACCCCAAGGAAGGTTCTCTACAGTCCTACAGACTCTAAGCTTTGAGACCCCTGCCCAGGCCGAACCCGCAAAGTGCGCGACGCGAACCACCCAACCTGGAATTTAAACCTTCAATTCGACAGCCCGAAACACTGGAGCCTTGAACCCCAAACACCCTAAGCCCTCAAAGCCGGAAGGGTTTAGGGCGTCGGGTTTAGCGCTAGTTTCTCCTTCCGCCCTGCTCTGCTGCAGAGGATCTGGCCGTGAACATCACTTCCGAACTCGGGGGCCACGCGGCCCAGGAACAGCTCGAGGCTCGACCTTGTGTATCAGGGATGTTCCTTTTCCTGAAAATACAAAGCATGAATATTTCTAGCAGGATTTATTGCGGGTTAATAGTACAGGTATATAGAAGTCTTTCCGTATGCTACCCTGGAGGGTTCTATCATGGTCTTATGGGGTTTTCGTGCATGTCTGCTGGGCTTGCTTGGCCACTAGTAACTAGTAATGACGAGACCCATTTTTGTCCAACATAGTTGAGCTTTCTGAAATGATCCTTCTGCTGAGTTTGAGCCCTCAAACCCCGAGCCTGAAACCCCGCCAAGCCCATGTTTCCGAAACTTTCGGCAAAACCAAGCCTTTGGCTTCAGGCGCTTCTTTCCCAGAAGGAGAAGAAGGAGGAAGCCGAAGAGAAGGAGGAAGCCGAAGAGACCTTCAAGCTTTTCAGTTTCAAGAACCCCGGGATGATCAACTTCGAGGCGGAGGGTTTTCGGGTGTTCACGGTCTAGCAAAGCTCTTCGGGCTTTTCGGAGGATCATTTGACTTAATAAGTATGGTGATAAGTACTTGTATGATTATACATACCTTACTTGGCGTTATAGGTAATTATAAGAACATTACCTTATTTTTAACCCTGGCTACTAAGTCTCATGCTCCTTTAGGTCTTCGGGTTTAGGTGGGCATTGCGCAAAGGCATGTGTGAGAAGATCCATGCCCGCTCCGTTTCCACAGTTCCTGAGTAGCACCCTTTTGCAATTTTTCCTCTTGGGTTCCCCTATTAAAACAGAATGTCGGAAAAAGGGTAGTCATTGTTAATGGGCTACAGAGGAAAAGTTTGAACAATGCCAGGGAAATGGTGAGCTTCAAAATGTGTACGTGTAGGACGGGTGTCAATTTTTCAATCCTTGGGAAAAAACTTTCATAATCTAAAAAGAGTGGGCGGGTTTCCTCAATTCTGCATCGTTTGCAGGTCCAGGGCCTCCTGCATGGCAACTGGCTCCAGCTCGGGATCCAAATGGCTTTCGGGCCCTACGAGAGCCCGCACATGAAGATACCTCTGCCGCTGAGCTCACATCAACAGCCCTGGAGTTCGGTCAACCCCAAACCCTTAAACTCCCAAACTTTTAAACTCTAAACCCCAAACCCTGAACTCCTAAACCCCGACCTCCAAAGCTTCAACTCTTTAACCAGCATATGCCCGACTACGGAAACTCCTTCGACCTTTCTCCCAGAAATTCGAAAGTGGGGATCAGTAACCCTTTTAAAGCTTTAGGGGTTTCGGGTCCAGGACTTGGGGGCTGGCATTCATCAAGTCCAGATGTAAAAAAAAGGACTTGGGGCCTAACTTTAAGGCTTTGCAGTTTAAAGGGCTCTTCCCAAAGCTTGGGGCTCTCTCTCTCTCTCTCTTTCTCTCTCCCGTTGGGAAAGCAGACCCCTAACTAAAGCACCTGGATTCATCCTGCAACGCAACGTCCTAAACCCTGAGCCTTAAGCGTCCTAAACCGCGAAACACGTCCATGAACGCGAAGCCAAGGCTAACACGTCCATGAAGCGAAGCCAAGGCTGAACTTGGCGGACCAGTTCGCCCTCATCCTGGCCGCGCTGCCCCCCGGTCTCGTGTCCGTGGAGAGCCGGGCCAAGGCGATCGCATCGCTGAAGGACAAGCAAGAGCTCCGTTTTGGGTGGGAAGGAGGGGGAGCGGGTCAGTTTTGAGGGGTGTTAGGGCTATTCTGTCCAGGGTTTCTAGTGGCGGCTATGACGAGTTGCTTGTTATAGCTTGTTCCAAAAATTCTTGAAGTTTCTAGATGGCCTACCTGAGACTCCAGGAGTTTAGGTGCTGCGTGAATGTGTTAAGGTTTTTTAGGACGGTTTGTGGGTTGGCTTGATGCACGAGCAGTAAGAGATGCCTACGAGCATGTGGAGAGCGCTGCAGTGAAGGACTTCTCCAGCAAGGATGTGAAGAAGGTCAAGTCGAAGGTCGGGGAGCTAACTGCCAGCTACCCAACCCTAAACTCTGCAGGGTTTAGGGTTTATGAACCTTGCATGGGAAGGTTTCGAAGCTGATCCCCGGCACCACCATCGGCTTGCGCAATCCTCACTGGGGTCGCTACATGAGGCAACTTTGGATCCGGAACATGACCTGATACCTGAACCGCCTAAAGCTTAAACTCGTTGAGCTTAACTAAACCCTCAACCCTTAAGCCCTCCCATTTCCCCTCCTAAACGACAGCCGAGGCGGCGGAGATTTTACTAGGTCAGAAAACACCAACTACCTCTCCAAACTCTTTTTTTTGATAGGGCAACCATTAAGCTGTACTTGAACGTTGCGTGCTGCATTGTCACTCATGAGGATGAATGACAATCGTATGGACGCGAGCGCGCCCCAGGGTCTTGATTGGCCAGCGGTATGGGAATGGGAGCGTTTCACCGTGGTGGACGCCGGAAACGGCGAGTTTGCTTTTCACAATCCCAAGTTCAATCGCTTTGTGTGGATGGAAGGACTTCCTAATGCGAAACGGATAATTAGGGACTTTTGTTTGGGATTATATAGGGACTTCTAAAAAGCTTTCATTGTCCCACTCCCCGTCAAGCACCAGTAAGAGGACAGACGTGCGTGGCCACCCACCCCGCGCCGGCCCAACACTTCAACCGGGACTGGGCCAAGGCACGCTTCATGGAGGTGGAGATTTCCAAACAGCAACCCCCCCTGAACCCTAAACCCCCTGAGCAGTAGGGTAAGTAGGGCTCAGCAGCCGAAACAGCAGCGTCCCCCGTTGACACTGGACCAGGTCACTGTTGGGGACGGCACCATCGCGCTGTACAACAAAGCCGAAGGTCGCTTCTTGAGGTGCGAGCTTTTGAAAACTACGGGATACCTTACTTTAGGGGTCCTTATAATCAGGATCCTACTATTTAGGGTACTCTACATTAAGGGTCTTTTATTGTGTAGACTCCCAGGTTGCACGACCACATCTTCGACGCCAGCCCCGAAGTCTCGAGCGAGTTTCCGGCAAACTGGATTTGGGAGAAATTCCAGATCGTCCGGGCAGGTCTCTACGGTGGCATCAAGCCCGGCATGGTGGTGGCCCTCTACAACACCGAACTTAAAAGGGTCATCCGCATGCACAACACCTTCATGGACACCCATTGGCTTTCACCAGACTTGGCCAACAAGGACAGCTTCCCTGCAGCATGGACTTGGGAGAGATTCACGGTGGTTGACGGTGGGAACGGCCTCATTGCCCTGCACCTTGGAAACCTTAACAGTGTTTGCTTAAACTAGGCAAAGGATCCGACAATATTTCCTTGTTTCAAGGCATTCCACCATCCACAACCGCTTCCTGTCCATGCGCGGCGGCACCACGCTGGGGGTGAGCGAACAGATGGCTGCCAATGCCCTTCCCGCGACTCCCAGCAGCAGAACTCAGAATAGCGACATCGGACCCTCCTTGTATAGAGCGTAGTGCCTGAGGGCCAGGATTTAGGGCTTACGGATTTATAGAGTTTAGGGATCCTAAACCTTCGATGCCTTGCAGGCCTTCACCTTCAACTCTGCTCTGACACCCCAATCCGTGAGAATTCCCAGGAAAGAACCTAAAGACGCCATCTAAAACGAACCTTCAACCCTAGACCCTCAAAAGTCTTCAACCGTCGGGCGTAAACCCCTCAACCCTCAAACCCGAGACCCTCACACCCACTACCATGCACTCAAAACCCGAAGAAGCCCCTAAACCCCATGCTCCTTGTGGTGATGAGAACTTTGGAGGGAACCGAAAAAGCAAAAGCCGAAAAGCGCCCGCCTTAAGGAATTATGACTGGGAGCGCTTCGCTGTGGTTCCGGGGGGACATCAAGAGATTGCGCTGCACAACCACCCTCACAACAGTTTCTTACTCTTTTGCTTGGCGTGGTTAAAGGTTTTCAGGACATTTAAGCCGTTTAGCGTTTTCATGGGCTGTTTAGTGAGTTCGGATTTGGGGTCTCGGGGTGTTGAAGCTGAAAGCTGAGGTTTGCAGAGGGCTTAGGTGTTAATGTCGTGAGCTTTGCGTGGGAGCTTGTGTTTGTCGTTATCAGTGGATTTGCAAGAGATACTTGCGATTGAGGCGTGTGAGATTTGGGCCTTTCACTGAAGGTTCATGGTTTCTAAATGGTTGAGGCTTTTTTGTGTTGAGAAGTTTGGCATGCCAGTTTGGGGTTTACAGAACCTGAACTGTGAGTTTTTAAGCCCTACCTGCAGAACTTTCTACTACGTTTGCACTGACAAAGGTGTAACGGTAGCTTGTAAAAACCCGTAAAAACCCTTCACCGAAGTCTGAAGTCTTACAAACCGCACGCTCCGGACTCCGAACCCTAGACCGCCTTTGAGGCTTTGTCACAATGTTTCACGGGAGCATGAAGGGGCATGTGGCGAACGTCCAGGACTTGCCGGATGGGTCCGGGTGGTGATTTTGGAGTGTACTGTAGGGTGTGTGTGAACCTTGCCGCAGCGTTGAGCCGTGACACACTATGCCCCGCACTTCTCAACCCCAAATCTCGAAACATTCTGCCTTGCATTCCATATTGCAGGACTACCATCATGTATGGTCACACCAGCGTTTCAAGGTGGGCTGAGAGTCAGTGTTGAGGTTTAGAGCGCAGAGCTTGATCGGCTTGAGGGTTCATGCTGCAGTTCAGCTTGCGAGGTTTAGACTTTGGCCGATTTTCACGTTTGAGTTGACCAAGCAGAACGGCAGAACCTACGAAGAGCCATGTGTTAGGGTTATGGATGTAGAGATGCGGTTTCAGCCCGTTGAATTCTGTCGAGGGTGCCTTTTGTAGGTGCACCCATGCATCATTCCATGTATCGCATTGATTCGTAAACCTGTGAATTTGCAAAATCCCTAGCCAGCAGCCGGGATCCATGTGCTTGAGGTTGTGCCGCTTGGTGAGGTTGAGATCAAGGATAAGGATGCGTCTTGGTCCTTCGACTTCAATTGAAGGCGAACTTGGACCTGAGGGATGTTCGGCTCAATTTTCTCTCCGCTTGTTGAAAATGCCCGCTCGTCAACTTGTGGGCGTGGATTCGGCGTGCGAGCTGCAAAACAAAGTGTGTATAATTGAGGCTCGCTCTTTTCTGGTTATGGGTTCCAGGCTTAGTCCAAGGCTCAGAGCATAGTCATAAAATGAAGGAATACCCAGTTTTACCTCCTTAAATGCGGT